AGTTATTATAGTTAAAAGGGCTTACCTGGTCTGAGGAGGTGTGGGTGTGTAAAGGGGCTGGGCTGGCCTAAGTACCGGTTTGGAATTCTCCTCTCTGGGATGGGCTGGAGGGAGTAGCTTCGCTGAGAACATGACAAGCATCCTGAAGGAAAAATAAAGTGAAATGGAACAATAATGCAGAAAGTCTTCTGAGTATGTATGCATTGATCTATCTCGAGCAGATGGATGCTCTAGAAAAATGCAAGTTAGGATCTCCTTCAATATTTTTATTGCCCTTCCTCTGTGCCAGTCAGGGCCTGTGTTGGGCCCTAGGAATACAAAAATGAGATAATTTTTACTCTTAGCAACCTCAGTCTACTGCAGCATAATAGAGGTACATACACATAGAGTATGACTATGGTATGAATAAGGAGCTATGGGAACAGAAGGAAGGCAAGAAACAAAAGCAAGGAAGGGGTAAGGGTATTTCACAGAGGTAGTGTGAAGCTGTGTCCTAAAATTCAGAAAAAGAGGGCACCTGGGTGGCTCAGTTGTTAAGCATCTGCCTTCAGCTCAGGTCGTGGTCCCAGAGTCCTGGGATTGAGCCCTGCATCGGGCTCCCTGCTCAGTGGGAAGCCTGCTTCTCCCTCTCCTGCTCCCCCTGCTTGTGTTTCCTCTCTTGCTCTCTCTCAAATAAATAAGTAAAATCTTTAAAAAAAAAAATAAAATAAAATTCAGAAAAAGAGAATTAACATTCTTATCGAGAATATGCGAAGTATGAGAAAATATGCACATGCTATCTCATTTAACCTTGGAAATGTTAGAGCTAGATTAAATCATGTCTGAAAAATGCTTAATCATGGTATACAACAAACACTATTATTAGCATTCATTCAACAAGATTTAAGCATGTGACTGGAACACATGCTAGAAAAAGACATGAGGAGGAGGACTATTTGCTGTGGTCTTCAAAGAATATACAGTCTACTGGAGGTAAAACAAAATGACATTATAACACGACATGGTGAACACCAGGGTGGATTCATTCACAAGGTTTTTTTGAGAGCAGAGACTAATACAATGTTGCGGGATGGGTACAAAGACAAAGATAGGCACACAGTGCTCTGGGGAACACAGAGAAGCACACAAAAGGTGCTGGTGTGGGACTGTAGAAGCAGGGGATGCCTACCCTGAATAAGAATTACTCAAGTGAAGGGCATCTGGCTGGCTCAGTTGGGAGAGCATGCAACTTGATCTCCGGGTTGTAAGTAAGAGCCCCATGTTGGGTGTAGAGATTACTTAAAGATAAAATCTTTTTAAAAAATCAGTCAATTGAAAGAGAAATGGGTCTGGAAGGTGTTATGAATGAGATTAGCACAGAAGGCTGTGTGTGTGTGTGTGTGTGTGTGTGTGTGTGTGTGTGTGTGTGTGTGTGTGTGTGTGTAGCAGGGAAAAGAGTTTCAGGTCAGTGTTGCTGGAGGAAGATGAACAGATTAGAAGACTGGGAAAGGCTTTATATGTATACCAAATTACGGAATTAGGATTTTAACTGCCATCATCATGGCTTTTTTTACAAATAAGGAACTGGATTCAAAGAAGTAATTTGTGCCATGTTACACATTACTGGGGAAGCTGGAGTTCAAACCTAGGGTTTTTTTGGTTGTTGTTATTTTAGATTTTATTTATTAGAGGGAAAGAGCGTGCACCAGCAGTGGGAGGGGCAGAGGGAGAAGCAGACTCCCCACTGAGCAGGGAGCCCTATGCCGGGCTTGATCCCAGGACCGGGGAACATGACCTGAGCTGAAGGCAGACGCTTAAGTGACTGAGCCACCCAGGCCCCCCCAAACCTAGGCTTATTAAACTCCAAAATCTTTGCTCTTATCCCTCTACCCTGTTGCTCAGTAGGTGTTCTCTGCTGATCCCAACACAGTCACTACTATACAATCTCCTCGTGAACATACAATCACTACAACAGGAGGATGTGATGTCTGAATCAAGTTAAAGGTTTTTGTAGGGACTATGTAGTATGAATGAGGTGTATACATTTGGTGAGTGAGGATTCTTAAATGTTAACTCTGAATTAAATTTACAGAGGATTACTGAAAAAAATTATAGCTTCTTGGATGATTAGAAAGACAAAATGGTAAAGGTTTCTGGGCAGTATGAAAATAATTAAGAACAGTGAAAAATGAGAAAAGGAAAAACAAGTATTTCCTGGAATCTAGCTTTAGAAAATGTACAGAATACATATTAGGGAATATGCCCAGTCTATATATATTGAAAGCTTAACAAAGATGAGGCAAGTGATTTACAGAAATACAGAAGACGGAGGAACTAGCTAGAGGACAACATAGGAACACAATCAACAAAGTCCTAACGTGGGAACACTACAGGACAAACAACTCTGTTTCTTCCACATAAATTTTATGGCAGGTAGGGCTGGTAAGAGATGGAAAGAGGAATCTGTAGGTTAAAAAAAAAATCTTAAAAATTATTATCAATTATAATTATGTGAACCTTATATGGATCCTGATTCAAGCAACAAATTGTAAAACAAGTATCCACTCATACTGTTTATTACATTTATGAAAAAATTGGAAATTTGGATAATAATTACATATTTGATGGTATTTGGGAAGTAATGTTTACTTCTTTAAGGTGTGATAATAGTGTTGTGGTTATGTTAGTTTTAAAAATTATTTATTTATTTGTGGGGGGGGCGTACAAGCGGGGGGAGTAACAGAGAGGGAGAAACAGGCTCCCCACTGAACAGAGAGCCCCATGTGGGGCTTGATCCCAGGACCCCAGGATCACGACCTGAGCCAAAGGCAGATGCTTAACTGAGCCATCAAGGCGCCCCTGTGGTTATGTTAAAAAGGAAGAACCTTACCTTTTAGAGATATAAACTGAAATATTTACTGATGAAGTGATACAATCTGGGATTTGTCTCAAAATAACACAGGAGTGGGGTGGGTTGGGGAGAGGATGAAAGGGGTTTTGGATGAAAGAAGACTGGCCATGAGTTGGCAACTATTGAAGCTGGGTGATGGGTACATGGGAGTCCATTATATACTACTCCATCTACTTATATGTTTGATATTTTCATAATAAGAAGTAAAAAAAGATGAGTTTAGAGACAAATGAAGGAAATAAGTATGCACTCTGAAAGGCAATCTAAGACAAGAGTTAAAGCTAGCAATGGTATAGTAGAAAAAAGTGCCAATTCTATGATCTATGTGATCTTGACATGTTACCTAATTCCTTTACACTATTTTTTTTTACCTGTGAAATAATGCAGTTATAGTAGATAGTGGATTTCAACCTTTTAAAACCAAGATCCACAGTAAGAATATATTTTACATGGTAACCTAGTATACACAGACATATAAATATGAGACATATAAAAATTTCACTAGGGGCATCTGGGTGGCTCAGTCAGCTGAGTGTCTGACTCTTTATTTCAGGTCAGGTCGTGATCTCGGGGTCATGGGATGGAGCCCTGCATCGAGCTCCATGCTTGGCGTGGAGTCGGTTTGTCCCTCTCCCTCTGCTTCTCCCCGCACTCTCTCTCTCTCAAATAAATACATAAAATCTTTAAGAAAAATTTCACTAAATATTATTCTTTCTATGACTGATATTTGTCTGCCCTATTCCATTAAAAAGTTTCTCAGTACACTACAATGATTTTATTACTGCAATTTCTTGAATGGTGGCCCCAAAAAGATATGTCCATGTCTTAATCCCCAGAACCTGTTAATTTACTTGGAAAAGGTGTCTTTGCAGATGTAATTAAGGATCTTGAAATGAGGAGATCCTTCTTTATCACCTGGGTAGGTCCTCAATTCAATGACAAGTGCTCTTATAAGAGAAATGCAGAGAGAGATTTCAGACAGACGAGAAAACAGAAGAGGAGGAAGTAACGGGACCACGGAGGCAGAGATTAGAGTGATGTGGCCACAAGCCAAAGAACACCTACAGCCACCAGAAACTGAAAAGGTAAAGAGCAGATTCTTTCCTAGAGCCTTTGAAAGGAAGACAGCCCTACTGACACTTGATTTCAGACCTCTGGCCTCCAGAGCTGTGAGAGAATTCTATTATTTTAAGCCACCATGTTTGTGGTGATTTGTTACGGCAGCCTCAGGAAACTAATACCATGACCTACTAAGATTACAACTTGCCATTGGAAAACATTGCACTAAAATGCTATCTCCGTACTGAGAGAAGCTCTAGTTCAGGAGGAGGAGGGATGTGAGGATGCTCAGTAATTTTTAAGAGCATAATGGGATCCTGAGAACAACCCCTGCCTCAACTAAACATCAGATTCCCTACAGTATTACTTGCAAACACCCGCAGAAATGGCCTTCCCCAACACATAGTAGCTTTTGGCCCACTTTGGTTTTTAGTTATTTGATCCTTGATATTTCTGTTTCTTGAAAGTACAGAAGGCACAAGGAGGAGATGATAATGGGTTGGGTTGTCCATGTACAAGACCGTGCTGGTGGAGTGACTGGGATGGAGTGTTATGAAGAAAAGGAATACAGTTAGGAGTTTAGAACTACCTGAGCTTTCTTCACCTGTAAGCAAACTTTTTTTTAAAAGATTTTATTTATTTGAGAGAGAGAGACAGGGAGCGCACACACCAGCAGGGGGAGGGGCAGAGGAAGAGGGAGAAGCAGACTCCCCTGCGGAGCAGGGAACCAGACGCCGGTCTCAATCTCAGGGCCCTGGGATCATAACCTGAGCCGAAGGCAGACGCTTAACCGACTGAGCCAACCAGGCACCCCAGCAAACTCTTGTCCTAATCAAAGCTCACAGAATATAGCATAAAGCTCCATTTTTCCTTATTACAACAAATAGTAGAGGCACAGTGTATTTAATACTTCCAAATCCCAGCATCATTGATAATAATGATCATAACAGCTAACATTTACTGTTTATTATATTGCAGAAAGTATTCTAAGTACTCTACATGTATTAACTTATTTAATCTTTATAGCTGTGTGAAGTAAGTACAATTCTAAATTTTTAACTAATTTTTGAACTGGTAACATGTTCATATGGATCAAAGTTCAAAAGATATAGAAGAGACTTACAGGGAAAAGCCTTCCTCCCACACCTTTCCCCAAGTTACCCTGTACCCCTTCCTTGAGACAACCACTATTATCACTTTTTTGTTGAAACCACATCTATTTATTGGTATCCCCTTCTTTAAACAAATAGCATGTTTGAGGTAGATGTTACTACAATACTGCCCATTTAAAGATGAGAAAAAAAGATACAAAGGAATGTTAAGAAACTTGCCCAAGATGAAGAATTACTGAGACAGAACTAGGATTTGAACAATCTATTTATAGAGCCCATAACCATTGGACTATATTGTCTACACTACTGTTTGGCAGTAAAATAACTTAATGTAAAAAGTTAACCAATTCTCTTTTTCTGTTTAAATGAAATAATACTAGAAAACCCAATCCTTCTATTTTGGTCCACTTCCTAGCACAGTAAGCTTAAGTCTAAAAGATGTAAATAAACAATACTTTTACCTACATTTAAGTAAACAGGATTTTTTGCCCAAACGTCACATAATTAGTTGGTAGCAAAACTGGTAATGTTGAGTCCTATTTCTAAAATCCAATTCGATTCAAAGTAGGGCCATTTCCTTAGTATAGACCCTCCTCAATTCACCTGGACTACTACGTCTCCAAACTGGTGTGCCTTTCTTGGATCTTGTCCTTCTTCAATTCATCCTCTATAGCTATACTATTTCCAAAGTACCCCTCTAGTCCTTTGCCTCAATGTCCTCAAAGGTATTGTCAGCCAACTCAGGTTTAAATTCAGGATCTGTCCTTAACCTTCCAGTTTCTCACACAAACACTATATACCTAGAATTTTCTATCTTTCAGAATGCACTTTAAACCCTAGCTTAGCACCCTTCATGATCTGGCTCCTATCCATTCCTCCACCTAATAATCCTCAAAGAAACATTATTGCAGCCACACTTTAAGAGCCCCAGCTAATCAGTCTGTACTGTAACAGTATTTACCTTTGAAAACACAGTTCTCTTGTCTAAAACGGCCTTTGCCTGCTTCTGTGAGCTCAAACATCACTTACTCTAGGATGCCTTCTCTTATAATTCCCCATCCTTGCTGATTCTGATGCAAATGCCCCTCCTCAATGCTCTCATGCTTAATTCTGTTTTAATACCTATGACACTGCACATAATTCTTAATTAGTTTGCCAGTCTATTATAAACTTTTGGAAGGCAGGGATTATTTTATTTTATTTCCCACTGATTAGATTGGGATATATTTTTAAGGTCAAAAGTCAACCAGTCTGCCTTTTGATTAGATGCAGAGAGTAAAGAAGAAAGAAATTAAGATGATTCTCAGGTTTTTTGGCTTGTCTCAGGTTTTTTGGCTTGAACGATTGGCTTTCAATGATTACACCATTAAATGAAATGGCAAAGACTGAGATACTTATTGGATATTCCAAAAGAGTACAAATAGTCAATCTGAAGTTCAGGGGGTAAAATAACAGGCTAGATATATAAATTAAGATTTCATAAGCACATAGGTGGTATCTAAAGCCTTGGGACTGGATATTACCTACCAAGACTGTGTAGATCAAGTTTAGTTACATTTTAGTGTGAGAAGGAAAAGCACAGGAGAAAGGAAGAAACTAGAGGAATGTGGTATTTAAGAAGTTAAACAAGTGTCTTAATAGAGGGAAGTGCTCACCCATGTCAAGTGCTGCTAAATACAAGGAGGCCAAAAGGAAAACTACTGGATTTGGCAACCATAGAAGTCACTGGAGACCTGGACAAGAACAGTTTTAGTGGAATATAAAAGATAGAAGCCAAAATGGGTAAAGGTGGTCAAAAGGTACAAACTTCCAGTTATAAAGTTCTGGGGGATGTAATGTACAACATAGTGACCATAGCTAACGATTCTTCATTGCATATTTGAAAATTGCTGAAAAACAAAGATCTTAAAAGTTCTCATCACAAGAAAAATGGGGTACCTGGCTGGCTCAATCAGTAGAGCACAAGACTCTTGATCTCGGGGTCGTGAGTTCAAGCCCCACGTTTTGGGCAGAGTTTACTTGAAAAAAAAGTTCTTATCACAAGAAAAAAAAATGTAACTGTGAAGTAATGGATGATAACTAAACTTCTTTTGGTAATCATTTTACAATGTATACATATATCAAATCATTATATTGTACACTTTAAACATATATATCAATTACATCTAAGACTCAGTAGTCTTAGAAGCTAGAATGGAGTGTGCCAACAAAATAGGATGGAAGAAAGGAGAAACATCAAGCAGAGACAATAATTTTGAGAAGTTTAACTGTCAAGAGATCAGAGAAAATGGCACAGCAGCTAGAAGGGGTGAGAGATCAAGCGAGGAAGAATAATTAGAAGCAAATCCTTGTGTTATACCTTAACACTCTATTGAAGTTAGTTTTTCAGTGTTTCTTATATAAATTCGAGAGTGGAATTTTCTGTTTTCTAACTCCTATCTGTATTACGGGTTCTTAATACATATTTGTAGAATGTTTAAAACCTGAACTCTTAAATCCTGGTCCAGGAAATGCAATATAGAATTTAGAATCAGATACATTCAAGTTCAAGTATCAGATTTTTCATTAATAAGCTAGGTAGCCTTAGACAGATTTACCTTTAAGAACCTCAGGTTTCTTATGGCCACAAAATATTTATTTTCTTGGAACGCTATTAACAATTACATGAGAAACTGTTAAGTCACTTGGTATAGTATTTGACCTAAAGATGGTGCTCAAATAATGTTCAATATTATCATTGTTATTATTTTCAATGGCATCATGTGTATGCCATTCATGCATACAGGTATACTGTAGAGAATTGAAAACCAATCTGAAGTAGCTCTCTGCCCCAATCACACTACAGTTTTTTGTTTTTTTTGAGGGGGAGCACATATCACATTATTTTATTTGTTTTCTTTTTTATTATTTATATTCCATTATAATGTAAACCATGAAAATCAGAAATTTCTTGTTTAATACTATTAACATCTGTGGTTAAAACTGTGTCTCGCACAAAGTAGGCATTCAATAATTATATACTGAATACGTAAGTGTACAATTTCCAAAATCTTTAACTACATGTTTTAAAGTAGTAAACTTTGAAGTGGGTAGACACTGTCATCTCAAATCATTCAATAGTGGCATGCAGAAAGCTTGTGTATTCTACTTCAGGAAGCCTTCCCTGAAACACCCCAAGTCTGGGCTAGGTGTCTCTCATGATTGCTTAGCATCCAGGGCTTCCCCCATCAGTCCTTATTACACTGTAATTGAGTTGTATTTCCTATTGAATTGCCTCTTGTCTGAAATAAACAAAAATGTCATCTACTTGAATACTTTTCCAGGTAGTTCACGATTTCTTCATTTTTCAAAACGAAACACAGAACTGGGAAATAAGTTATTAAGGCTCAGTAGTCTAGAGGTAATATTATGCAAGGGGCATGCTGTGGACATCAACAGGTCCCACTAGTTTATGAGGCATTGTTTGAGGCTTCCAGGAGAATATAGGAGAAATAGTCCAGAGGATGGTCTGGTATGACTCTAGACTAGCTCTATTTGGAAGGTCTAGTCCCTACCCCAACCCCAGAATGACACCATCATGCAAACCTCTCTGACATAAGCTTATAACTCTGCTTGCCAGATAATCAGTGTCCTAACGTCTCCTAGCAGTGTCTAACATTGTCTTCAATGTAAAAATGTGCCTATTTGTGGTTACTGCCTCTACCACCACCGCCAGGAGAGCTTGAGCTGAGAGGAAACTACGGTTCTCCCTACTCAGACGCAGAAAACCCCTTTTCAACAATCTGTTAAAACATGGTGGATTACTATGAAGTTCTAGGAGTGCAGAGATATGCTTCACCTGAGGATATTAAAAAGGCTTATCGTAAAGTGGCACTTAAATGGCACCCTGATAAAAATCCAGAAAATAAAGAAGCAGCTCAGAGAAAATTCAAAGTAGCTGAAGCATATGAGGTATTATCAAATAATGAAAAACAGGACATTTATGATAAATATGGCCAAGAAGGATTAAATGGTAGAGGCAGAATTCATTTTGATGATTCTTTTGAATATGGCTTCACATTCTGTAAGCCAGATGATGTCTTTAGAGAAATTTTTGGTGAAAGGGACCCATTTTCATTTCATTTCTTCGAAGACTCACTTGAGGACCTTTTAAATAGTCCAAAAAGCTCCATGGAAGCAGAGGTACAAGATCCTTTTTTGCTACCTCCAGTAAATATCCGGTTTTTGAAAGATTTTCTTCATATGATACAGTATACACACCATATGGTTCACTGGGCCATGAGGGCCTTCATTCATCCTCCTCCCTGGCATTTGATGATAGTGGGATGAGCAACTACCTATCTGTTACAGCTTTAGGTAAGATTGGTAATAGCAGAAATACAAATACACAGAGAATTATTGAGAATGATCAAGAAAGAGAAGTTGACGATGATGCTGAGTTGAAGTCCTTCCTTATAAATGGTGTGGCAGATGAAGAGGGCTTTGCAGAAGAATGCAGCTGGGGAAGAAAATTATTCAACAGTTACTCACCAAAGTCCTACAGCCCCGAACATGTAACTCAATATATTTTTGTGGATAGTGATGAGCAAGATATACCTTGGGTCACCAGCAACTAGAATCCCTCTATTTTCTCAGCAGGATTCAAAGAAGGTGGTAAGAGAAAAAAAAAGAAGCATAAAGAGGTGCAGAAGAAGTCAACCAAAAGGAATCGTTAAATTGACTCTTCAGACACATTATGTTCATATAACAATTGAACATGACTCTTTGTGTGTTTTGGTTAATCAGAGTTTTGTACATAACACTTGTTTAATACTATACTAAGATTATGTTTTAACACGTTTAGCAGCATTGTGGACATTTGGTCAAAGGTTGTTTGGATTAAGTATGTCAGAAAAAGATGAGTTTGTGGTGACAGTGATGTTAATTTGGAAAACAGCAAATACCATTTTACTTTCTTTTGAGCTAAACATTTACGAATCATAGAGTTTTTCTTTAGCAGAGCTTATGATCTGTTTCATTCCTTTTATCTATTTGAAACTACTGTGCAAACTTCTGAAATGCGTATAGCATTAGGAGCTAAAAACATTAAGATACACAGGTTCAGACTATATAATTATTCATGAAATGAAATTTTTCCAATAGAGGCAGAGCAATTGACACATAAATACATTATAAATAAAAATTAAAGCATAAAATATTTTAAGTTAAAAATAGCCAGAATTATATTTGCACCCCCATGTTTACAGAAATTATTCACAATAGCCAAGAGGTAGAAGCAACCCAAATACCAATCAATGGATGAATAAACATACATATGGTGAAATATTATTCAGCCTTAAAAAGGAAATCCTGTTACATGCTACATGGATAAACTTTGAAACATTATGGTAAGTGAAATAAGCCAGTCATAAAGACGAATCCTTATGATTCTACTTACATGAGCTAAGAAATTGATAAAAACAAAGTAGAATCGTGGTTACCAGGATAAGGGAGGGAGAGGTGTTGTTAATGGGTCTACTTTTAGATTTCAAGATGAAAAAGTTCTAGAAATCTGTTTCACAAAGTATATTTAAAAATGATTAACATGGTAAATTTTATGTTATGTGTATTTTACCACAATTAAAAAAGAAAACTAGACTTATCCTGGATTTCTCAGAGCAATGTGGCTATTTCACGTATGGTAGGCCTACAGTGAATCACTCCAGACAGGAAATTTTCTATTTTCTTTTTTACTATACATTATGTACACAGGATCTACAAAGACATTACTCTAAAACACCAACTTTAGCCAATGTAATTTAGGGTTACGATGGAAGAAAAATTAGTTACAGATACATCAGACATTGAGCAAGTGGTCTTAGCTAAATGCAGACATTTGCTTATTTTAAATGAATTTAATTTCAACACAATTACTTCTTAGCTTCCTCTATTTTATTTTCAAAATATATTACTTTTCAGCCTATGATATTTATTCATTCATTCATTCATTCAATGGTATTTTTTGAGTACCTACTATTTGTCAGGTACTTGGGATACAGTAATGAATGAACACCAAAAATCTTAGCTGTTACAGAGCTTACAAACTGGGCAAAGACAATAAACAAATACTAAGTAAAATATAATGTTAGTCATAGGTGCTAAAGAAAACAGAATAAAAGGGGACAGAAGTTTTGGAATACAAGGGTTGAAATTGTAGTTAAGGTAGCCAGAGAAAAATGATGGTTAACATCTGAGTAAAGATGTAAAGAAAGTAAAGGAGTTAACCATGTGGATATGAGGTGAAAGAGTATTCCAGAAGGAACAGCAAGTGAAATGTCTCGAAGGCTAGATGTGTAAGGTGTGTCCGACGCTCACAGAGGAGTTCATTGTGAATAATTAAGACAACAAGCAGATGAAGTAAGAAAGGTAACAGGAGGTCAGATTATGCAGGGACTGCTAGATCACAGTATGGACTCTGTTATTATAGGTGGGACAGGAAGCCACTGGAGGCTCTGAGCAGAAGAGTGACATAATCTGACATATTTGAACAGGCCCACTCTGGCTGTTATTGTTTTTTGTTTTTTTAAATGATTTATTTTAGGGGCGCCTGGGTGGCTCAGTTGGTTAAGCGACTGCCTTCGGCTCAGGTCATGATCCTGGAGTCCCGGGATCGAGTCCCACATCGGGCTCCCTGCTCAGCAGGGAGTCTGCTTCTCCCTCTGACCCGCTTCCCCCTCGTGCTCTCTATCTCTCATTCTCTCTCTCTCTCAAATAAATAAAATCTTTAAAAATAAATAAATAAAAATAAATAAATGATTTATTTTAGTAGGGTGGGCAGAGGGAGAGGGAGTCTCAAGCTGACTTCCTGCCGGGTGAAGTCTGACATCGGACTCTATCTCACGACCATGACATCATGACCTGAGCCAAAATCAAGAATTGGATACTCATGGGGCGCCTGGGTGGCTCAGTCATTAAGCGTCTGCCTTCAGCTCGGGTCATGATCCCAGGGTCCTGGGATTGAGCCCCACATCGGGCTCCCTGCTCTGCGGGAAGCCTGCTTCTCCCTCTCCCACTGCCCCTGCTTATGTTCCTTCTCTAGCTGTGTCTCTCTCAGTCAAATAAATAAAATTAAAAAAAAAAAAAGAATTGGATACTCAACCCACTGAGCCATGCAGACACCCCTGGCTGTTGTCATTAAGAAAAGACTCAAAGAAGCAGATGTAGAAGCAGGGAAATCAGGCTACTGCGAGAATCCAGACAAGACACTATAATAGCTTGGTCCACAGTGGTAGAAGTAGGGGTGGTGAAGAGTGATCACATTCTGGATAAGGTCTAAAGGCAGGGCCAAGCAGAATTTACGGACAGGCTGCATACTGGGTATTATAGGAGTCAAGGTTTTTCGCTTTAGCAACTGAGAGAAGGGATTTGCCATTATCTGAGATAGGAATGTAGGTGTTAAGTTTTGGATGTGCTATGTTTGAAATTCCTGAATTTATCGACTGAAAATAATTTCCTGGATTGACTTGCATTCTGCATATTCCTCGCCATTAAATTTTTTTTTAGCGATCTATTGATACTATTTTAATCTTTTCTCTCTTAGAAATGCAATGACTGCACATTTTAATGTGACTAAAAGATGAGAGCAAATAATCTAGCAAAACTAAAACCCAATCACCTTTGGCAAAATACAGTTCAGTGGCATATAGCAATGTAACAAATCTGGAAACCACAAAAGATTATAACAACTACTCTTTAAATGACTGCTATAGTAAAATGTGACCTTTTGCTTAATTTTGTTTGATTTTTAGTTGGTCGGTGGAGTGCATAGGAGGGACTGGGAACGATTTGCATTAACTTATTTTCAGGGGGCACCTGGGGAGCTCAGTCGGTTAAGCGTCTGCCTTCGGCTCAGGTCATGATCTCCCGCTCCCTGCTCAGCGGGGAGTGTGCTACTCCCTCTCCCCCCACCCCGCCCCCTGCTCAAGCTCTCTCTCTCAAATAAGTGAATAAAAATCTTAAAAAAATAAAAAAAATGAACAAAACTTATTTTCAGGAAATAAAGTCATAAGAGCTTAGAATATTTCATTTTATTTTTTAAAGATTTATTTATTTGAGAAAGAGCACGCACAAGCAGGCGGAGTGGCAGAGGGAGAGGGAGAAGCAGACTCCCAACTGAGCAGGGAGCCTGAGATGGGTCTCAATCCCAGGACCCTGGGATCATGACCTGAGCTGAAGGCAGATGCTTAACCAACTGAGCCACCCAGGTGCCCCAGCTTAGAGTTAAGCCCCAGCTTAATGCTACTTTTATAAAATGTGTTTAGTAAAGTTTATCTGTCATGTACCTGGGACTACTCAGAGCTGAAAAAAAAATCCAATTTTCCAACAACAAAACCAAAAACCAGTGTCTCTGAAAATTTAAGAATGCAACAAACAACATGCCCTCCAGTCCGTTTTTCCACTCTTAACAGATAACTAAAAATTCAGATTTAATCTTACTCAATAGCTTAAAATTATCCAATGGTTTCCCACTGTCTAGAGGAATGGGAATGTACAAGCCCCTTCATGAGCCAGCCACCAGCTTTTCTTCCTAACTTGTTTTTCTTTTTTTAAAATTTTATTTATTTGACAGAGACACAGTGAGAGAGGGAACACAAGCAGGGGGGAGTGTGAGAGGGAGAAGCAGGCTTCTCATGGAGAAGGGAGCCTGAGAGGGGCTCAATCCTAGACCCTGCGACCTGAGCCGAAGGCAGATGCTTAATGACTGAGCCACCCAGGCGCCCCCTAACTTGGTTTTTTAATCACCTCTTCCTACACCTTATGCTTGAGCCCAAATTTTTCCAAAATGTGTTCCAAGGGATACCAGTTCACCACAGAAAAAGGGCCCCATGGTCAAATACAATTTGCAAATTACTGCCAAATACCTTTCTTTTGGAGACTTAGAATTAGTCTATTATGGACATGATGAAATGCAGCACTCGCCACTTATCTGACCACAGAACCATTTTGGTGTAACACCTACTACATGCCTACGAACATATTTCAAAAAAGCTCCTCCAGGCTTACTGAGGATTGAAAAGCTTTGTTCCATGCCTTTGCATATGCTCCCTTTGGCAGAATGACTGTTACTCTAGTCTGCTTGATAAAAGCCTTTTTCAAGTCTCAAATATCTCCTAATGTTTAAGGGCATGCCCACATTTCCTCTTGGCCTCTCCCTGCTCCCAGGAAACATCTATCACTTTTTCTTTTTCCCCATCACTGTTACTAAATGTTATATTACAATTACTTGCTTCTTTGTCTACCACGATGGTAGAAACCATGCTCCACGCTTACATGTGGTGCTCAATATTTGTTGAATGAATTAACTGCAAACAGGCTTTAAAAAAATTACTTATTCTTTAGTCAATGTTTTCACTTTAGGATTGCATGACTTTCACAGATGAGAAAGTTTCCTATTGTACTCAATACTCTGTACTACAGAGCCTTTCTAAAGAATGGCAACCAAGAGCACCACAGACATGCAAAGTTCTATTTATGAGCATATCAAGACAGTAAGATTTTCAAACTCTGAAACTTAGTAAAATCCCCAAATGACATTTTTTACGACCCATTACTGCCTTTCTTGAGCCCCTATGCCACTTGAGTCAAGACTCTATTAGAATCTATTGCTATACTGTCATTTATCTATTGCTTGTCTATCACCCTGACAAGACAGTGAGCAACGCCAGGGAAGTGGAGATTCATCCACAGTGACTACTAAACTTATTGAATGAAGAGAACATTCTTTTTGGCCCAATAAAAAGTTCCAAAAGGACTCTAATAAGCCAGAGTTAAGATCTAGTGGTGGTATAACAGAAAAAGGACTAGACAGCAATTATACAACTAAAATTGCTGACTTGCAACTTGTGATGCTGTGTTGGTTTCAATTCAGTAAAATGAGGATACCTGCCCTAACTTATTAGACTTGTGAAGATCCAAGGAGAGAATCCATTCAAAACACCAATATATGGGACGCCTGGGTGGCTCAGATGGTTAAGTGTCTGCCTTTGGCTCGGGTCGTGATCCCAGGGTCCTGGGATCGAGTCCCGCATCGGGCTCCCTGCTCCGCAGGAAGCCTGCTTCTCCCTCTGCCTCTCTCTCTCTGACTCTCAGGAATAAAAAAAAAACACACACACACCAATATGTATAACATGGTGTTAATGTTAGGAAGTAGTTAAATTTACTTATTGCTTTAAGGCAAAATGAAGCATAACGAATATATTTTTCAAAGATCTTGGCATTTATAATCCAATGTCTAGTGTTAAACTTCCATGGGGCACCTGGGTGGCTCAGGTCATGATCTCAGGGTCCTGGGATTGAGCCCCATATTGGGCTCCATGCTCAGCAGTGAGCCTGCTTCTCCCTCTCCCTCTGCTGCTCCCGCTGCTTGTGGTCTAATAAATAAAATCTTAAAAAAAAAACTTTCATTAATAAGGTTTTACACAAAGCCTCAATTAAAAAAAAAAAGTCACAAGCAAAAGATGGTTCCAGCTCTAAATCATAGGTTGTGGCTTCTATGATTAAGACTAGGTATCTCTTCATCTACTCCTATGGAGAAGAGCTTTCTGCAACTTAACTATGAGAATCAAAGAGCAAATTCTGTGCACTGGACAGTGGTTTTTATTTTTTACAGGGAAAAAAAATCTTATAATTACCATCCCACTTTCATTAAAGTAGATCATTGTAAGAAATACACGCCAAGGGGCGCCTGGGTGGCTCAGTCGTTAAGTGTCTGCCTTCGGCTCAGGTCATGATCCCAGGGTCCTGGGATCGAGCCCCGCATTGGGCTCCCTGCTCCGCGGGAAGCCTGCTTCTCCCTCTCCCACTCTCCCTGCTTGTGTTCCCTCTCTCGCTGTCTCTCTCTCTGTCAAATAAATAAAATCTTAAAAAAAAAAAAAAGAAATACACGCCAAGTCTAATAAGTTAGGGCAGGTATCCTCATTTTACAAGGCGTTCACACATTGTTCACCTATTGGCCAAAAACCATGAAATATGATCCAATGGCAGATCCGCCCGCAAGGTAGTTGATTCAGCTTTCACTGATCGAGGTTTATGTTCATCAAATTAATTGTTCGCGATAGAGTACACCCTACAAGAATGGTCCCCATTATTCCTGGACTCCTTCATCTTGCCTTTACGGACAAGGCTTTCAGACATTAAAAAGCCCCGGGAGTATTTCCAAGCATTCTCTCTTCCGAGAGGAACCGCTCAAAGGATTTGTGTTACTAAACATGTTTCTTGTACATGCTGGAGCCAGCTCTAAAGTCAACTCTTTGAAAACACGAAAACGGGATTTTATGATAACCTAACAGAAACAAGAGCTACTTGATTTGAGACACTGTTATCTACGCAAGTGAAAACTGACACAACTTCTAGGAGTCCGAGGAACTTTGAAGAGAGCCCCTCTGGGGGATGACACACACTTTTCTCTCTGCAGTCATTCCGGCTTCCCAGAATACCTCAACGGTAGGGAGAACACAGGGCCCACCCTTTTCCAGAAGCTGCAGGTAAAGAAGAAATCCGAGGAGCGCACAAAGGATCTGGGAGTGGAGGCCCCAGCAGGAGAAGGGTCCGCCGATTCAGAGATGGCCTGAGACCAACTTGGATCCCTCTCGGGCGCCTCAGGTTTCTCAGAGAGCACACCCCGGAGGGACACCGTGGGAGATGAGTCTAACCTGAGAAGCAGCGGGCGCTTGCTACGGCGGGAACCAGCTTAGTTGCTGAGAGTAACCAAAGCATGACGGCCTCGCTCACGCGGCAGAAAGGAAAAGAGAAAAACAGCGAGAGAAGCGGCCGTCCGCAGAATTGCGTCGCCAGGAAACCAGGCCAAGCGCCCCTCCCCTTCCGGCCAGCGCCGCTCGCCGGGCTTTCCTTCCATAGCGGCGCTGAATGCTGACGTCACGCCCAGAGCTGTGACTGACGCCCTTGTGGGAGGGCCCGTTTGCTGTCCTGTAGTCATGCGCCACTTAATGCCCACACGAACGGAATGATTCTAAATGATTCCCTGCAGGAGCTGATATTTCCCGTCTCCTTGAAAGCACCATGTGGGGGTATTGATTCAGAGAACTTGATCAGATTTAGAATACAAGAATGCATGCGTAGAGAGGCAGGCAACAGCGTGAACAGCCACACTTCTAGAAGGTTCTAGGAAGTGCGCAGGGGCAGAGGCGGAGGGAGTAGGAATGAACGGGCGTAGGACCCGGGGTCACGAGACCGTTGGGTAGGAGGAGCCAGCAGCCGGGGAGGTTCTAGTCTGTTCTGCCTCGCGGCAGCCGCCCCCTTCTACACGATCACGCTGAGCTAGTACACGGACCTGGAATCGGGCCGCAACCTCAGCCGCGCCTGCCGCCTGCCGCTTGCCACCGCCTCTGGACCATGGACCCACGCAAAGTGAGCGAGCTTCGGGCCTTCGTGAAAATGTGTAAGCAGGATCCGAGCGTTCTGCACACCGAGGAAATGCGCTTCCTGCGGGAGTGGGTGGAGAGGTGAGACCGGGGCCGAGGACCGTTGGGGGTGGGAAGAGGGACGACCGGAGAGGGAGCTGGGCGGGAGCTGGCGTGGGGCGGACGAGTGGGGAGCTCCGCCACGAGGGCCCGCCGAGTCGCCGCCTATTTGTGGCTTTCCCTGGCCAGGAACCGGAGGCGACTTTGGGGGCAAATGGAGGATCGGGAAGCTTAGATCGTACAGAGGTGGGGAAGGAGGAGGCACAGCTGGGTTCTCTCACCCTGAGGTCGTTAGGGGTGTGTCTTGGACGAAATATAAAAGCAGAGATTGCACGGACTTGGGCACTGTAGACGTCGGGGGGGGGGCTGCAAGATTTCTCTTTCGCGTGGAGTTTTCTTGAAATCTCGTGTCCTGCTTAGGTCGCGGTGGCACATAGCTCTTTTACGCGCTACGTCTTTAAAAATAGTGTTTTAATAACGATAGTTTGTTACATAATGAGTTATAAAATGGTAATTACTAGAATACTTTTAAATGTACATTGATTCTAACTGCGTAGAATTATTTTGGGAATCACTTACTGGTACCTCCGTAATATCGGTGCCATTACACTAAACATTTAAAGAAAAATGATTTTTCAAGGACCAGCGTGTTACCATGATCTATTCTTGTTATCCTTAAATCTAGAGTACTTGGGTACGTGCACAGAATTAATTGAATAGGCATTGTGCCAGATGCTAGGAAACCGTGTAAGTGCAGTTTATTTAGTGATACAGATGAATAAATACAGAAATTTCTTTTGATATTTACTAATAGAGATTAATATTCTTCATATTGGAGGAGAACTTAAGGGAGAAAGGGAAATCTTCCCCGAGACGGTTTTTGAAAAATCACTACTACTGGTGTGGAATTTAAATGACACACAAATCGCACCTCATGGTGATAATAGCGACAGTGCAAAGCAATGTGACTCCTTAGAGGTACTACCCTAAACATCGATCATCTTATTTTAGTGATATTTTTATAGGGGAAGATGAACCCATGATTATCATACATTTTAAAGAATATTTCTTTCAATAAACTCTTTTAAGGAAGAAGCTTGTTAAAATCTATGAATGCCGTATGTGGTGGTACAATATTTTCCCTCTAAGAAGTTTCTCAGTTTTTCTCCTCCACTAGTTTTCTAGCTATGGTAAGATTTTGCTCCTGTTATAAATGTAAAATTCCGAGATCACTTACAGTTACTGCAGTAATTTAAAAACTGTTGTTGATAATAGTTAACAATACTATTTTGTAACAGGAAGACCTACAAGATGCTAATTTCAGGACTAGGTGTTTAGGCCTAGATTTTAGTCGTTTTTTTTCTCTTGAATAAGTTGATAATCCAAATGCTTCACTTTAGATATTTGTATGTTTTTAACCTCTTTTATTTATGAGAGGAAAGTGCCTGTAATTAAATTGTTTATAAAAATTCCAGGTAAAGCTGATGTGTATACCACAGGAAGAAGGGGTTGATGCTGACTGAACATTATACTGAGTATATACAGTGTTTTGTTTCTCTACTGAAGAGGAAAAAGGGAGTTGTGAAGAAAAAGCTAAAACAAATCTAAGAACAGTGTAACTTGTGCTGGAGTGATTATGGCTATGTAGAGAATTCCACTTTAATGTCTGGAAAATATTGTTGGATATTATTTCCAGAAAATACTTACGTGTCTTTTTTTTTCTTAACGTTTCACATAGGTAATTCTATTTTTTTTTAGTCGTCCAGCTATATTTTTCTTGTGGCATCCTAAATTTTTGGTTTAAGTATAGGATGAAGCATCTTGGCACGTGTAGGGGCCCTATTCTGAAGCTTTTGTTATCTCTATTTTAATGTAAGCTAAAATTTTTGTAGTCTTTGAGGCTTTTGCTTGAAGTGCATCAATTTCTCTTTGCCTTCATGTCAGCCGCCTTTTTTTTTTTTTTAAAGATTTTATTTATTTGACAGAGATAGCACAAGTAGGCAGAGCGGCAGGCAGAGGGAGAGGGAGAAGCAGACTCCTGGTGGAGCAGGGAGCCCAACGCGGGGCTCGATCCCAAGACCCTGAGATCATGACCTGAGCTGAAGGCAGACGCTTAACCGACTGAGCCACCCAGGCACCCCTCATGTCAGCCTTCTTAAGTGCAGGATTATAGGAAATTGGGCTGAATGTGGAGACTTGTGGGTCCAGAAATATTCCCAGGCCTAATCCTACCGTAAGGGCTCCTCAAGTTGAAAGCATATCAGAGTTCTCTGTTCATACTAGATTAATCGTAGGTGTCCAGACTTAGACATCGAAGAACAGTTTATTTAATCTATTTGTGTATTTGTGAGAATTTTACCATTGTTTATAGTTTAAAATTTTATTTGGTGTTAAGACTTTATTTAACAACCTTTTAAATTGGACAGAGAGAAATAAAGAATTTTTTTTTTGGCTCAGTGAGGATCCAAGGAGACAGTGATCTTTTCAACAAATACGTTTTGGGGTATTTTTGTTTTTCTTTAGGAAGAAGCATTTTTTGACACTATTATTTCATTTTATGGAATTTAAGATAAAAGGCTGTATCTTTGTGTTATAATCTCCAGCACAGTGCATGGCACATGGCTTTTCAGTAAATATTTTAAATGAAGTGAACAGGATGCACTTCTATTCTCAATGAATTCAGAACATAGCACCCAGTTTTTTGTACAGGTGCTTAATAACTATTGCTCAAAGCAATTTGAGCAATTAAGAGAATTATGAATGGGGTCTTGGAGATTCCATACGAGGAAGGTCTCTGCACTAGCCCTACTTGGCAACATAAAAGCCTATACTGACAAAGTCCAGTTTGCAGTGTTGGGCAGGGAATTAGCGTGTTTTAAATTTTGGAAGCATTAAATTAAATTTTTGTACCTATAAATTGGTGTTAACCTTCCAGTAGTGAACTAGAATTTGGAAAGTGAGAAACTAAATGTAGCTTATGAATAACCTTCTTGTGTTCCTTCCCTCTCTGTTTTAAAATTTTAAAAAAATTTCAAAACTTGTACGAAAATTGCAAGTACAGTACATTTTTCCTGAAATGATTTCCAATGTTGTGGCCTCAGCACCATTGTGTATTTCCTACAAGGACAGTCTCTTCAACCACCAAATTCAGGAGACTAAGAATGATGCATTAATGCTATCTAGTTCTCAGAATTATATATTACACTTTATTGTTGAGACTTCTAATCTCTATTTTCAAAGAATTCTTTGGTCTTTCCTTGACTTTTATGACCTTGGCAGTTTTGCATATTACAGGCCAGTTATTTTGGATAATTTCCCTCAATATGGGTTTGTCTTTTGTAAGGATTAGATTTAGCTTAATACATTTTTTTTAAAGATTTATTTTAGTGAGAGAGCGAGAGCATGAGCTCGTACAAGCAAGTGGGGTGAGGGGTAGAGGGAGAGGGAAAGAGAATCTCAAGCAGACTCCAAGCTCAGCGCAGAGCCCGGGGTTTGATCCCCAACCCCGAGATCACGACCTGAGCTGAAACACCGGATGCTTAACCGACTAAGCCCCCCAGGCACCCCTAGCATAATACATTTCTTGGTAAGACCATCCCTTCCCAAAGTTTTAACATAAGTTAGACTGTTAGGGCTGTGTCCTCAAAGTTGCATTTTGAAACTTAGGGAAAACACAGCTTAAGAAGCCCTGTGTTTTCATTAAAATTTAACTGCAAAGAACTATTGCTGGATTACTCTTTTTTTTTTTTTAAGATTTTATTTATTTCACAGAGAGAGACACAGCAAGAGAGGGAACACAAGCAGGGGGAGTGGGAGAGGGAGAAGCAGGCTTCCTTTCGAGCAGGGAGCCCGATGCGGGGCTCAATCCCAGGACCCTGAGATCATGACCTGAGCTGAAGGCAGACGTTTAACGACTGAGCCACCCAGGCACCCCGATTACTCTTTTTTTTAAGATTTTATTTATTTATTTGACAGAAAGAGACACAGCGAGAGAGGGAGCACAAGCAGGGAGAGTGGGAGAAGGAGAATCAGGCTTCCCCCTGAGCAGGGAGCCCGATGCAGGGCTTGATCCCAGGACCCTGGGATCACGACCCGAGCTGAAGGCAGATGCTTAACCGACTGAGCCACCCAGGCGCCCCTATTGTTTGATTACTCTTTTGAAAAGTAGTTTTTCTGTAGATCAGAATTTTAAAGAATTTTGTTTATATGCCTGTTTCTTATTAAATCATTTTACTTTGCTGAATTACAAACTAAGAATTAAAAAATTTTTTTTTCATGTGGGAACCATTTTTCTTTATTAAGGGTACTGAGTAAGTAAAGATTTTTTTTGTAACTGTCGCATTAAACTGAATGGGGAAAGTGTGCACATTTTTCTTGATTGGTGCTTAACAAGAAATTCCAAACTTTGTCTATTATTGCATTTGCTGTTTTAGATTTATAGTTTTGCTTCATGTTGGCTTCATTTTGTAAGTGAAAAGGCAAGCCACGGGGTGGGGGAAGATCTTTGCAACACATAAAACTGACAGAAGGCTTGTATGCAGAGTATACAAAGAATACCTACAGATAAGTATGACAGATAATCTAACAGAAAGCTGGACAAGAGTTGAACTTTACACAAAAGGCTATTCAGAGAGCCAATAAATAAATGAGAAGGAACTAAACTACCCTGAGATACTACTATACATCTACCAAAATGGCTAAATATTTAAAAGATGGACAATAGCTAAATGTTGGCTGAGGTGTGGACCAACTGGATTTTTAAAAAAATTATTGGAATTCTTATGCACCGCTGATACAAGCGTAAATTGGTAAAAGAACTTTGAAGAACCAAATCCATTTCCCATTTGGAAACCAGTATCCATTTAAATCCAACATACACATACCTTGTGTCCAGAAATTCCATCTACCTGAAAGGAATGTAAACATGGATATAACTTTAGTTACAAAGAATCAAGACCTGAGGGTGTTTTGAAGTAGATTCTTTTGTTTTCCAAGTGAATATATTCCTCTTTTTTACATAAAAGTTAATGCCTTTTTTTTTCTTTTTCTTTTTTAAATCAAATTTTAGTTAAGTCCTTGTGACTTCCAGTTTTCACTATCGTGGAGGAGTGCCCTTAATCCATTGAACATTTTAGTCACTGGACTGCTGCTGCATGGGGCCCATATACTTCAGAGTCTGGCCCAAATGGAGCATATAGCACTAATTCTTCATAGTCTTTTTTTCCTCCTTGTTTTTAAGTTACTTGTTTTCAATTCATGGTATTGCCATGGAATGTTTGAGAAAGGACTTACAAGGCCAAGGGGAAGTATTAATGGGTGGATTGTAGAAGGGATAAGGAGAAAATATATATTGTGAGGGGCATATGAAATATAAGCAGAAAGAGTCTTTGGATGTCCTAGTCAGAGGAAACAAACATTTTGAATTATTATACTATGACCATAATTATTTCATAAACTGATTATTTTAATTTGAGTGCTTACTAAAGTTGAGGTTTTGGATTCAGTATACCTACTGAATTCTAACTTGTACAGATGATTTTGTTATTGCATGTTTTTCTGCCTCTTCCTTTGGGAATGGGCACAGAGAAGCTACATAATTAATGTTTGTTAGGCTTATTGAGGCAAGGAAAGGATTAGATTTTCATTAACCAGTAAAAAAAAATTTTAAGCTGAAAAAAATACTGAAGCATTCAAATTCATTGAGTTTACTCGTAAAGGTTTGAGAAAGTAACCATCTAAGTATCTTGTTTTTCCAGTGTAAGTAAATGTTGCTTTGCTCAATGAATTTTAATTTTTTAAACAAATATCTTTTTTCTCATCTTCCTCAAGCATGGGGGGTAAAATACCACCTGCCACTCATAAAACTAAATCAGAAGACAATATCAAGGTAAGTTACGAATTTCTGTATGTTTAGTGATAAAGTACTATAAGGTTTTTAAAGTGCTGTTCTCAAATTGCCATTCCTGATTTCCTCAGGATCACTTGGAAATAAGATCTTTGTAAAATTTCTGTTTGGACATAGAGTATCTGGAATCTGATTTAACACTGAGAATTTGAGGTTGAATGTTCACTGTGTTTGAGAACAAAAGCTTATGTGTGTTACATGCATGACCTGTGGGTGGTACGCTCTGTGACTGTGTGTCTTACGTAGTCTTCATCATCATTGCATCTTTAGCACCTAGCACAGGGTTTTATGCATTGTAGGTACTTGATGAAAATTTGCAAAGTAAATGAAAAATAGTCCAAATCAGTAATTCTTGTTTCTCTACCATATGACCTGAGGGTTATTTCTGAGTATGAGTCAGCATATTTGCCAAAAAAAGATGCCAAAAGATTAGGAGGAGCTTACCAGTAGCTGAAGTTTAGAGATGGGGGTGGGTATACCCTTAAGAATGCTTCCTTCAAGAGAAGAGCAGGGTGGAGGGAACAAAAAAGATTTTGGGTGGTTTGCGAGAAAGAAAGCAGAAAAGAGCCCACTACACTCCTTTAAAGTGGGCAGGAGGGGTGCCTGGGTGGCTCAGTCATTAAGCGTCTGCCTTCGGCTCAGGTCATGATCCCAGGGTCCTGGGATCGAGCCCCACATCGGGTTCCCTGCTCGGCAGGAAGCCTGCTTCTCCCTCTCCCACTCCCCCTGCTTGTGTTCCCTCTCTCACTGTGTCTGTCTCTGTCAAATAAATAAATAAAATCTTTTAAAAAAATAAAGTGGGCAGGAAACCAGCCCTAACAATGGACAGAGGAGGGGGTTAATGCCAAGCCAAGCTTCCTAGCTCTCCAAGCACCCATTTTAATTTCATTTTTAGTTTATTTTTATTGCCGATCCTCCTCCAAAAACCCTTCCCATTCTTTTTTCTTTCCTCTTTTTTTCTTTCTTCCTTTCCGTTTTCCCTTCCTCCCTTCTTCCCTCCCTTCCTTCCTTCAAAAAAATGCTTCCTTCAGAATTCTTATTTCTCCTATTTTGTGTTTCCATGTCTAAAATATTTTTCCCCAAGTTTACTTCCTCCCTTCCTTTCTTGTTTTAGAGAGAGAGAACACGAGGGGTTGGGGAACAGAGAGAGAGAGAGAGAGAGAGAGAATCTTAAGCAGAGTCCGAGCTGACATGGAGCCCTACACAGGGCTGAATCTCCCAACCCTGCAATCATGACCTGAGCCGAAATCAAGAGTCACACTGAGCCAACCAGGCGCCTCTCCCTAAGTTTTCTGGTTAGCGGTCTTAAATTGATAAGAAAATTTACTGTTGTATTTTTTAGAACCTTAAACAAGGTTTATCTATCTGGATATGAAATCAGAAGTTCTATCTTTGAACAAGTGAAGTGAGAGAAGTTAAAAGCCCCAAAAGTAGTTATTTTAAAGGAGTCATTCGTCAGAGTTACTGGTTCCTGATAGGATACTTTGATAGGGTACCTAGATAGGATATTTTGCTATATGGTAAACATGTATGAAGACAAAATTGTATTTAATCTATGTCCCTGCTAAAACATTTTTGTAAGAAAACATTCTGATTTGGAATTACATGCTAAAGCATCTGACACCTTGCACATGGTAGGGTCTCAACATATATTTTTGTAATGAGGTAGGGTTTTGAACCTAATTTTTAAGAATTACAAAAAGCAACCTAAATCACTGGTTATATAATATATACTAATACAGTTAAATGAATAGATGGGTGTGTGCCGATTGTGATATATTCTTTATGAAACACAGCATTGTGAAATGGAAAGGTCAAAGTGCAGAATTGTCTTATCTATGCATTGAGAATATCTAATGGGATATACCAGAAACCACACTGGTGACTTACAGGATGGGAAGGAAATTTGGTTTTCATCATGTGTACCTTGAAATTCTTTGAATTCTCATCATTTGTGTATTATAGTTCTATTGTTTCATATTTGAAATTCCAAACTCAAAACCCTTGAAAATGCAAAGATTTTTTAGTGTATTTGTTTGGCAGTAAAGCATAATCTGAACAGATGTGAGGCTATTTATAGTTTGTATCCCACTTATGAATGCTCAGACTTTATTTTGCAGAAATAGTAATGTGTTGATTATGGGGAGTTGTGGACCACAGTGCCTGTTCAGGGTGCAACATAAGTATGGGTTATGTATTTGTATTAGGTTCCTACAATCTAGCATTTTTTAAATTCTAAAACTTGTTTAAAAGGTTTGGAGGAGGGATTTTACCTATTCTTTAAAAAGAGAAATGAAAACAAAACTAAAAGAAGTTTACCAAAACAGTGTAAAAAAGGGTATATTAACAACTGAAATACAATGTCTGTGAACAGTTTATATATGTTTTTATAAATTAGTATATATTTTGGGTGTGTTACTGAATACTGAAAGCATTGTTTGCCTTCCCTTTGCTAGGAAGAAAAAACAGATAGTAAGAAGGCGGAGGAAAACATAAAGACAGATGAACCATCAAGTGAGGAAAGTGATCTAGGTGAGGAGATGGTGTAGTTAGTTTGTGTTTGATAATCTCATGATGAGATCCTGTGCCGATTTTTACTAAATCAAGGCTAATAGAAATGTAATGTAGCTGAGCTACATATGAAACTTAAAATTTTCTGGTAGCCACGTTTAAAAAAAAAATTAAACAGATGAAATTAACTCAATATATCTAAACTATGTAAAATACTAACATTTCACCGTGTAATCAATATGGAAAAATTGTTAGTGAGATCTTTCCTTTTTTTTCATACTAAGTCTTCAAAATCCAGAGTATATTTTATACTTACAGCACATTTCAGTGCAGATGTTAGATGTTATATTTTTGTGGAAATATTTGCCGTATATTCAGACTTAATGAAATTTGTAGTTGGGTAACATATCCAAGTTGTAAATATATGTAAAAGTGTTCCAATAACTGAATCAAGTACCAGAAAATTACTCTTACTACTTGGATCCACATTGATAAAACTTGTTCATTTTAGAAGAAATGATATGCCATGAGTTTTGTTTTTTTGTTTGGGAGTTTTTTTAGGCTGCAAACTGACAAAAATCTTTTCCTAAATTTGGAAGTCCTTTGAGACTGTATATATCCCAGTTATTAAATGGGCAATCTCAAATGGAATTTTTCAAACTTTGAATCAATTGATCTTTGATACTGTTAGAAAGGACTTCTTGTTTGTGGGCTTAATTGATGATCTTTCACTTTTTGTAAAATACCTTTTTCAGTCTTACTATTTTCCAACAATTTCCATAACTATGATAATGTCTTACCATCTCTTTATCCAAAAGTATTTTCTTTTTTGTATATGAATTAAGCTGTTTTATAGTTAGACAAAGGTACAGATTCAGTTCTTAGTAAAATGAAAATTTTTTTGTTCGACAATTCGAATTTCAGGTAGCTAATTACAGTTTCATTCTTTTTTTTTTTTTTGTAAGTTTATTTATTTAATCTCCATACCCAGTGTGGGTCTTGAACTCACAACCCTGAGATCAAGGTCACATGCTCTTCTGACTGAGCCAGCCAGCTGCCCCTCAGTTTCATTCTTTTTTGACTGTCAGCAGTAAACATTAAATTCACTCTATTTGCTAAAAATGTCTCTTAATATTATCTATTATTTTGAAAAGTTTTTTTTTATACTGAACGGTTATTATGTTTTCCTTTACTGTAGCAAATTACAGTTGTCTGTCATGAAATTTATGACCTATATCTCTTTCTAGTTTCTTTGCTGTTTTGGTTATAGTGCTAGCTTTTGATTTAGAGTCTGCATCAGCATTGTGCTTTATCTTAAAATTTATCTGTAAAAAAAAAATTACGATTTACATCATCACTATAACTTGTGCTATCTGCATAAAATATTTTTGAAAACATTACATTGATGTGTAGAATAAAATATTTGAATCATTTTGCTGACACTGACTAAATCAGTGGTGTCTCTCTGTGTAATACTAGAAACTGCACTTGCCAACATTCCCACTACAAAACTGATAAATATCCTAGATGATGCAACTGTTAAAATGAAATGTAATCTTAACAAAACAATAAAGTAGTATTTAATGGGGAAATATTTTACAGTGCATCAGTTTAAATAAACATAAAATACTTAGGTTATCAGTTGGAGTGGCTAGTTCATTGAGTTTTTGAGTCTTATGCAACTAGTGGCTGCTGTATGGGACAGCCCAGGTCTTATGGTCATTTTCTTAATTTTGGCAGAAATTGACAATGAAGGTGTGATTGAACCAGATACTGATGCCCCTCAAGAAATGGGAGATGAAAATGTAGAGGTAAGTTCAGTGGCTTATTTTCTGCTTGTTGTAAGGAATGTGAAGGTCCCACCTATTGCAGTGATTTTATGACATAATTCTGCCAGGAAAAGAACATACTAAATCTTTCTCTGACTTAAGGTATTTAGGAAAGCAACTTTATTTTACTACTAAAAATATTTGTGAGAATTCCCGTTATTTTTAATCATACTCTAATTGTTACTTTCTGTTTACTTTTTCAATTTGCATCTGTTTTGACTACTCTTTAGACTACAGAGTTCACCTAACATTTATATTTAGAAATGAAATTGCTTATTAATCGGATATCTAATATCCCATTGTTTTCCAAAATGGTTTTGTCACATTGGGTACAGTTTTACCCTTAAGCTAGTGAGAATTGGTTCTTGGGAGAGGGCTTGCAAAAAAAACTTAGATATTACAGTGGTTAGTGGTCTTCCAAAGGTTCATAACGTATATGCAGTGTATCTGTGTGGTATTAAAATGGAATGGGGGAGTATTAAAAAAATGTCTCAAACGGCTCTTTGGGGGTTGATAATGAACAAAGGCTTGAGAAACACTGAAATAGTGTAGTAGTGGTTTAGAAGCTTGGTCCATGTCCTCACCAACACTTGATACTATCAGATTTCATGTTTGCCAGGCTTATTGTGTGAAATGGTACGCCCTTCTGGCTTTTAATTTGCGCTTTTCCAATTTCTAATAAAGTTGAGCATATTCTGATGTTTATTGGTCCTTCACAGGTATTTGTGAAGTCCTATTGTGACTTTTCCCATTTTTCTTCTGGGTCGTCTTTTTTCTTACTGATTTATAATTAACCTTTTCACCTTTAATCTACCTGGCAGCACTATTAAAGAATTCCTTTCCTCACCAATGCCAAATTACACTGTTTCCATATATGTGTGGGTCATTTCTGGTGTTGTGTTCTCCTTGTCTAATTTTTTTCCATGTGCTTATAACACATTGTCTTAATTGGCTTTATATTAAGTCTTGTTATCTGGTAGGGGGACCCCCAACAATTTAGAAGTGTTTTGGCTGTTTTGTTGGCCTTTCTTTTTCCATATAAATTTTAGAATATTATCAATTCCCTCCGCCCCCAGTTAGAAGTGCGTTAATATAAAATCAAGTTAGGGAGAGGATATGGCTCCCTGTTGTGATTAACTACCCATGAATATATATATCTGTCTAATTTTTAGGTCTTTTCTGATGTTTTTAGATAATTTATTAGCATTTTTCCATAAAGGTCATGTGCATCTTTAAGAACAAATATAGGTACTTTTTGTCACTGTTTGTGAAAGGAATTTTTAAAAATTATGTATTGATGATGCTGTATCACTTTGACTTGTCTAGGTTTATAACACTGTATTTGTGCTACTTAGGATATATTGGGCATTTTAAATTCTAGGGTTAACTTTCTTTAGCTCTGGAACATTTTCATCTAGTATCTTTCAAATATTTCCTCTTCCCCATTCTCTCTGTTGTCATTCTGGAGTCCTAGTTGGTATGTATTAGATTTTTTTCACTATTCTTTTCCTTTCTTTTTATTTTTTTTTAAAGATTTTATTTATTTAATTGACAGAGAGCGAGAGAGGGAACACAAGCAGGGGGAGTGGGAGAGGGAGAAGCAGGCTCCCCGTAGAGCAGGGAGCCGATGTGGGGCTCGATCCCAGGATTCTGGGATCATGACCTGAGCGGAAGGCAGACGCTTAAGTGAGCCACCCAGGCGCCCCTTAAATTCTGTTTCTTTGTCACTGCCGAATTATGTATACTTTCAGTCATTTGGCTGTTAATGTTTGAATTTGAATGCTTATGTTTTTCATCTTTATGTCTTGCTTTGATTCATTTTAAAGTATACTTGGTTATTTATAAGTCCCTTATTCCTTACTCATTTTTAGAACTTGCCTTTATTCTCTTAAACACGTTATAAACTTTGTCAAACTCTTCCTGGTTTTATTCTTTTATTTTTTCTGACTCTTGCTCATTGAGGGAGGTACCTTGTTTACTTGTGGATGGTTTGTGTGTGTGTGTATGTGTGTATTTTGACTGCGCGTGTGTGTATGTGTGTGTGTTGGAATTTTGACCATGAGTTCTTTGCTACTTCACCTGGAAAAGTTTTTGAGGCCTGAGTAGAAGGTGTATTCCTCCAAAGAGGAAAGTGTTTGCTTCCATTGAGACTCTTGAGTTGGAGCTACCAAGTCAAGGACCACTTTAAATTCTCAGCATGGTTTTTTGTTGTTGTTTGTGTAACTATACAAGTAATGGGAATTCCACTGGAAAACCTGGCTGAGTTTACAGGGGAATTTTTTTTTTTTCTTCTTGCTACTTGGCTATACTTTTCTTTGTGACAGGTTTATTTTTGGTTTGCTATTATGCTTGCAGGTATAGGCATTGGGGATTCCAGATTTATTGGAGGGTATCGATTAGACAACATGCATTCTCTTCTAGACTTTTTTCATGTGTCCTGTAGTACATTTGAAAACAATTGCAAGGTCACCAGGTTTGACACCTGCTGAAAGGGTGAAAGCAGATAGAGCATTGGGCTCCCATACTGGATTTCAGGTCTTCTTTTAATCTTGTTCTTTGAGGTTTTCTACATTCTTAGGTGAAAGATGGCTTTTACATTTACTCAGGGCATCATGTGTAACATTGCCACAAACTGAAGTCTTTTTTTTCCCCTCCAATTTGGCTTTGTTAGGATGTCTTACTATCTGGTAAAGTGTGTCTTTGTTGTTTTCTTCTTTTTCTTTTCAAAAGATTTTAAAATTTTTGTTGGAATTACTTCAAATTTATTGAGTAACTTGGGGTTAGGTTGAAGTATGCAAAAAAATCTTTCCATAAACATAGTATACATCTTGTGTTCTTTTGTAGAATTTTACTTTTTTTCCCCCTTTGAAGTCTTTTTTTTTTTTTTTTTAAGATTTTATTTATTTGACAGAGACAGTGAGAGAGGGAACACAAGCAGGGGGAGTGGGTGAGAGATAAGCAAGCTTCCCACTGAGCAGGGAGCCCGACGAGGGGCTCGATCCCAGAACCCTGGGATCATGACCCCAGCCGAAGGCAGATGCTTAACGACGGAGCCACTCAGGCACCCCCCCACCGAAAGTCTTACATGTTCTTAAAATGGTATCTTGTTCTGTCCTATTTTGTAACTGATTTTGCTGATGTGGAGGAACTCTGGTTTTTTATGTTGTTTCTGTGTTTCTGAGGACTATTGAATTGTTTTGGTAGCTCTAATAGCCTGTCATGTCTTTGAGTTTTCGAGGTAAACTTGAAGACAGCTTGGTATTTCCTTTCAATTCTTAAACCTGTCAAATCATTTTCTTAATGAATTAGCCAGCACCAGTAATATTTTACATGGTGGTTGGTGATAGAGTAGATCTTTTTGCCTTTTGTTAAAGAAACTATCTTTTTTTTTTTTTAAAGAATTTATTTATTTGAGAGAGAGAGAATGAGAGGCAGAGAGCACGAGAGGGAAGAGGGTCAGAGGGAGAAGCAGACTCCCCGCTGAGCGGGGAGCCCGATGCGGGACTTGATCCCGGGACTCCAGGATCGTGACCTGAGCTGAAGGCAGTCGCTTAACGACTGAGCCACCCAGGCGCCCTAAAGAAACTATCTTAACTTTCCATTTAGGTGGGATGTTTGCTGTAAGTTTTTGTTACTAATGATCTTTGTACTGTCAGCATCTTGTACGGTGTTCTGTACAGTATAGGTACTCAGTAGTATGTTTGTTGGAACAAAAGATTGAGACATTTCACTTAAAATTTAAGTCTAACAGGAACTAGTTTTAGTTACATCTTTACGAGGAGATTGAGTTTTAGTATTTGTGAAAAACTAGAAAAGAGTTGGTGGGACAGGAGCAGGAACATCCTGCTAAGGTTGGTTGGGATGGAGGGAAGCAAAGGTCATGTCTAAACTAAAGGATAGGGAGTGAAATTTATTGTTTATATTGTTTATATGAAAGATTAAAGCTCATCCTGTGTAATTTCTTACTAATCACTTACCATAGTTATCTTCTTGCTCCCTGGAGACTAGAGAAGAATGAATGAAAATGGGGGTTGTGTCTACCCCATCCCTAAGAAAGCCCAAGCTGCTTCCTTCTCTTTGCTTTCTCTGTTACTTCTAAGTTGACCTACAATTTCCCCCTAGATAACCGAGGAAATGATGGATCAGGCAAATGATAAAAAAGTGGCTGCCATTGATGCCCTAAATGATGGTGAGTGATTTTTTTTTTCCCTCTTTGCTGTATTTCTATGGTAGTCTGAATATTCTCTTTTTCCCTGCAGCAACTGTTAAATAGTGGGAAAGTGGAAGGGAACTTAAATTTATTAAGTATCTTATACTGGAGAAGAAATCGTCTTATTCTCTACCCACCCATTCCCCCCTTGAAAAAGGCTGAAATCACTCAGGTATTAATTACCTTGCCTCAGGGCACGGACACATCCTGATGTGACTGAAAGACTCCTTTCCTGACTAATCCTGGTGTTTGTCCACTGAGGAGAGGCTTTAAGATAAAGGTGAACATTTTTCAAAAAAAATAGTATTATTAGAACAGTGGCTCTTAACCTTTTATATAGCAACACCCTTGACAAATGATGTCCGTTGGCATAATGTTCTTGTTCTAATCTTTATGTGTTAGACCCTCTTCAAAAAATCCTTTCAAAGTGGGAGAATGCTGGTAATATAGTAAGCATAATATTTAATCAGTTAAAATTTGTGAGAACAAATCATTTCTTAGCTTGGGTAGTATGCAGACCCCTTCATAGCTTTGTGGTAGTGTGTCACACAATGCCATTGTGGGAGAGCTGCTGCTGTCTAATGCTCATGTGCATTTGGACTTCATCTGTAGACTTAAAAGATGACTAAAGTTTTAAAAAGTTCAGTATTGATTGCTGTTCCAATTTGGCAAATAATACTTGCTTTCTTTTTTGTAATCTTACCACCTTCTTAGTTTAGGTCATTATCACATGTTTATGCCATTGCATTCGCCTTAATAGTTTGCCTATCTGAAATGTCTCTTTCCTTTATTGCTTTCTATTCACTGCCTCTAGATTATTCTTTCTTAGAACTGCTTTTTATTTTCACACATTCCCTTGATTGTAACTTCTGACTAGCTTTTTGCGTACTTTTTGAAGATTTTCATCATAGCGTTAGACCTGCTAGAGTCTGATCCCATGTATTGCCTTCCCAGCCTTGTTCTCTTTTGAGTATTAACCTTCCATCACAGCCAGACCTCGCTGTCCTAGAATTTTCCTATACTTTTGTGCTCTGCTGCTTCTTTCTAAAGCTCTTCTTCACCTATTTCAGCTTTTAATTCATACCCATCAGTTGATCCCAGCTACTTCTCTTCCTGGCCATTCCTTTCCCACACTTATCTTTTAATTTTACTACCACCTAAGATTTCTGTTTATCCAGCATTTATTTTGTGCCTTCTACTTACCTGACAGTTTTATTATATGTGCATTATTTTATTAAAATCTCATACTCCTACCATTTCACAGGTTAATGAATAATTTGAGGGATCAGAGGGGTTTTGACTTGTGCAGGATCTCACTGTGCCATAATATCAACTAATTGTTTTTGTCATTTATTTTGGCATATTCTTACATTTTTTAAATTTGTTTTATTTATTGCCTAGCAGTTTTTAAGGAAAATGAAGCTGTTGCCGCCATCTAAAAAGTCATGTTCTTGTTTTTCTACATTTCTTTCTAAGCTATGTTCATGTATAAATTTAACCATGTTCTAATTTTATTTCATTAAAGATTGATTAACTTATCTGAGAGAGAGACATCACTGATTAACTTATTTGAGAGAAACAGCACGAACAAGAGGGGCAGAGGGAGAGGGAGAGAGCAGCTCAAGTGAACTCCACGCTGAGCACGGAGCCTGACTCTGGCCTTGATCCCAGGACCCTGAGAGATCATGAGCTGAACCGAAATCAAGAGTTGACACTTAATTGACTGTGCCACCCAGGCGCCCCTAAGCTAGTTCTAATTTTAGAATAAGTGCCGTTTTATAGTACATCTTAAAGGGATAAAACATTAGTATTCTAAGCCAGGGATTGTAGATTCAGGCCCTACCTGGGGTTGGAGGGGCAGAAATATAACTAAATACTGAACTTTGGAAGCCAAAGTGCCTGGGTTTGAATCCCAGCTCTGGCACTTACCAGCTAGATAAACTTAGAGAAGTTATTCTTTGTCTCTGCTTCTGTTTCGTCCTCCTTTTTTTAAATGATTTTTTAAAAAAGATTTTTATTATTTATTTGAGAGAGAGAGTGTGTGTGTGTGCGCGAGCAGGGCGAGGGGCAGAGGGGGAGAGAGAGAGAATCTCAAGCAGACTCCACGCTGAGTGAGGAGCTTGATCTCATGACCCTGAGATCATGAGCTGAGCCAAAACCAAGAGTTGGATGTTTAACCGACTGAGCCACCCAAGCACCCCTGTTTCCTCCTTTGTAAGATAAGCATAATGTACCTACTGAGTATATTGAGTCATGAGGGATAAATGAATAAGTATGTGTAATGTGCCTAGAATAGTATCTGGCATTGTTATTTTTAAGGTCCTGGTATTACTAAAATGTCAATAGTCATAATTTAAGTAAGACCTTAGTAAATATTTTTAGCTCTCATGTTATTAGTAACATTATTATGCTTTTTTCAGTTTATTTTGTCATTTATTTTGGCATATTCTTACGTTTTTTAAATTTGTTTTATTTATTGCCTAGTAATTTCTAAGGAAAATGAAGCTTTATATTTATATATATATATATTTATCAATATTTATTTAAAACTTACAAGTTCTAGGCAGTGTTTAGATGTTGGCTATACAGTGAGAAAAACAATAGAGACCAAGTTCTTTACCTCATGGACCTCTTATATTACTGGGGAACAAAACCAAATTTATTTAATACTAGGTGGTAATAAGTGCATGAAGAAAAACAGAGCTGAGTAAAAGAATAGTCAGTGATGGAAGCTGTATTTTGCAAAGGGTGATCAGAAAAGCATACGATGAAGTGAAGTGTGCAAGCCATGTGAGGGAAGAGCCTTTGAGACAGAGGGAAGAACAAGTACAGAGGCTAACTGGGGGAGCATACGGGATGAATACATATTCAGGGAATAGCAGAAAGGCCTTGTACCAGCTACAGGTGGAGTGTGGTGAGTGAAGGGGTAAGAATGGTAGAATTGAGGTCAAAGAAACTCTTCAGAGTAGGAGATAACGTGGTGGGAAGGTGGTGAGGAGGATAGATCACTAAAGATCTGTAGTAGATGTACAAGATCGCTTGTAGACCATACTAAGGACTGAAAATTTTAACCTTAAGGATGATGGGAAGCCACTGAGGTGGTGGTGTTGTGGGGTGTTTTTTGTTCTTGTTTTGTTTTTGTGTAGGAAAGCTTCATCATGAGATAACATTTACTTTTGAAAAGGATTATTTTTTCTGTTTTCTGTAGATCAAATTCTAAGGGCAAATAAGGGTATGTTCATTACAGAAGAAGCCAAAACATGAGTTGATGTGCCAGAGATATACTTAAGAAAATGCCTGAAAGGAAAAATAGGGGAGCAGGGAGAGCCAGAGGAGTCTGGTGGAAGTCAATTATACAGTCATGTAGGTTCTTACCCCCCTGTATAGGAGAAGTCTTCAACTATTGGTGTGTTTCTAAAAAGTCAGGACAAGCCGAAGTTGCCCGCTGGAAGATTTAACATGTCTCACAATAATGGACCAGTCTTGGTATTCTTGCTGTACTTAGTCATTAACTGGGAGCAGCTTATGAAGTGTAGCCTTGAGCACAGAATATGGGGTTCCCGGTCAGTTAGGTTCCACCCCAGGAGATCTAGGGTGCATTTTCATGATCCTACAGAGGGAATGCAAGAAATTGAGTCCAGGTGGCTTAACAATCATGGCCTGGATTAGGGCAAAGGTTCCCAGACTTTTCTCTGTTTATATAAGTGCTTTTACGGTCTTGATTTTTTTTTCTTTTTAACAGAACTTTTAAGCCAAAAGAAAGACATAAGGGTTTCATTGATAATATAGTTAGGTCCAAACAATTTAATAAGTGTGTTGTAACAAGTTAGTGATTGGAAAATAATACACACAATTGAAAGAATATATTTAATCTTATTCTTAAATAACCATATTTATTTTCTAATGAGATGTGTTTATATGTTGGGCACTAAACAACTTCTCAAATCTTGGCATCATATTGGACACTGCCGCCCTCATTTCCTGTTCCACAACCTGTTTTTCTGCAGTTCTTGATTTTTTTTTTTTATCATAACCAGTAGAAACAGTTTTTCAAAGATACCATCAAAAGGAATGTAGTGATGGAGTGTTGAAGCTGTGAACTGTATCAAGTGAGTAGTTCATGCAGTGCTAACAAACTGTCCTTGGTGTGGAAACGTCAGGATTAGGGTGAGGAGTGGTTAGATTCTTTTTCTTTTTTTTTTAAATATAGGTTTATTTATTTTAGGGGGGGCGCACGAGGGAGAGGGGGAGCGAGAATCTCAAGCAGACTCCCTGCTGAGCGCGGAGCTCAACCATGGGGCTCGACCTCATGACCCTGAGATCATGACCTGACCCGAAATCAAGAGTCAGATGCTTAACCAACTGAGCCACCCAGGCGCCCCAGGAGTGGTTAGGTTCTAGGTATATATTGAAAGTAGAGAGAAAAGGGTATAGGTTTTAGATTGGGGAGTTGGGAATGACTCCCAAGATTTGGGCGTTGAGGTAGATCAGGAGTTAGCCAAATTACAGCTTCCTGTTTTTGTAAAAATGTAATGGAACATAGCCTCACCCATTTGTTCATGTGTTGTTTGTGGCTGCTTCCCCACTACAGTAGTAGAGTTGAATGGTTACGATTGGTATGGTCTGCAGAGCCTAAAATAATCCTTATGTGGCCCTTTCCAGAAAAGTTTACTGACCTCTAAACTAGATTGAATGGAAGAGCCATTTATTTAGTTGGTAATATAAGGAGAAATAGATTTTAGAGATGGGGTTGGAATTAAGAGTTCAGTTTTGAACATGGTAGGTGTGAACTGCTTATTAGACATCCAAGTGCAATAATTTGTAACATCTGTAGTACTTAATAAGACTCAACGTTCTTCTGCATTGTTTTATGAGTTCTGTTAAGGTCCTTTACAGATTTATAGCTGGGTAAATGTATTTTCCAAAGTGAACTGTGATGTTTACTTTAAAATTGTTTGTCTTGTTGTCCTCCCCCCTCCCCCATCGTGTTTCCTGTGTCCAGGAATTAGATTTCATGCAAAGAACTATTTTTTTTTTTAAGATTTTATTTATTTTGACAGAGAGAGACAGAGTGAGACGGAACACAAGCAGGGGGAGTGGGAGAGGGAGAAGCAGCAGGCTCCCCGCTGAGCAGGGAGCCTGATGCGGGGCTCGATCCCAGGACCCTGGAATCGTGACCTGAGCTGAAGGCAGATGCTTAACGACTGAGCCACCCAGGCGCCCCTTTGCAAAGAACTATTTTAATTGTATAGTATGTTTAATTTGTTCAATGACTTCACTGAAGGCACTAATACACAAAGAAGCTAACTGTGAGAATAGAATATAATAAATGAATTTAAAATGGGGGTTATGGGCTTCTTATGAATTCTAGTTTTCTTGAATTTTATACCATTCCTGTGAATTCAAGTAATAATTTTTTAATCAACTTTGTAAATTTAGTATGAGTATTTTTTCCTTTATAAGTAATTTTATCCTTTTAACTTAATGGATAAAAGAGAATTAATGGACTAAAATTGATTATCCTTTACTTTATTCTTTTATTTTTTTTTATTTTTTTTTCTCAAAGATTTTATTTATTTATATGAGAGAGAGAGAGCATGAGAGGGGGTAGGGTCAGAGGGAGAAGCAGACTCCCTGCTGAGCAGGGAGCCCGATGTGGGACTCGATCCCAGGACTCCAGGATCATGACCTGAGCCGAAGGCAGTCGCTTAGCCAGCTGAGCCACCCAGGTGCCCCTCTTTTATTTTTTCTTAACTAAAAAAAATCATGAGTTCTAAGAATGTGGTATTCTACTGTTAGGGAATTACGTATCCAAAAATGGTCGCTATCTTGAGTGAGTGATTTACCATATAGGTGTGGTAAGACTTGCTTTGAAGAGCCGTTTCTGTTTTTTGTTTTTTTAAGATTTTATTTATTTATTTAGGGAGTGAGCGGTGGGGAGGGGCTGAGGGAGAGGGAGAGAGAGACTCTCAAATAGACTGAGCTAAGCGTGGAGCCTGGCGGGGAGGGCTCGATCTCACGACCCTGAGATCATGACCTGAGCCGAAATCAAGAGTCAGATGCTTAACCGACTGAGCCAACCAGGCGTCCCTGAAGAGCCGTTTTTGAATATTAATTTAGAAATTAGTCTTTTTTTTTTACTGGACTAAAAGAAGAATGTGGAAGATTAATAGGTTAAGGGATCAACAATTTTTGTTAAGGGCGCCTAGGTGGCTCAGTTGGTTAGGCGGCTGCCTTCGGCTCAGGTCATGATCCTGGAGTCCCGGGATCAGGTCCCGCATCGGGCTCCCTGCTCAGCAGTGAGTCTGCTTCTCCCTCGGACCCTCCACCATCTCGTGCTCTCTCTATCTCATTCTCTCTCTCAAATGAATAAATAAAATCTTAAAAAAAAAACAAAACAATTTTTGTTAATATTTTTTATTTTTTATTCTTTATTTCTCAATTTGTTTTACTTTAGGCGAACTACAGAAAGCCATTGACTTGTTCACAGATGCCATCAAACTGAATCCTCGCTTGGCCATTCTCTATGCCAAGAGAGCCAGGTGAGAACTGTAAACAAAAAAGAATGCTTAGTGAAGAATTTCTGCTCATTTATTTAAATAGAATTGCTTCTGTGGTGATCCCAAAGGTGTTATTGTTTGAAATGAATACTTTTTAATATCACACTTATTTTTTTTAGTGTCTTCATCAAATTGCAGAAGCCAAATGCTGCCATTCGAGACTGTGACAGAGCTATTGAAATAAATCCTGATTCAGCTCAGCCTTATAAGTGGCGAGGGAAAGCACACAGGTAAACAACAGAATTTCATTATTTTCAGAACTTCTGAATTTTAAATCTGATGTTTTAATGAAATTGATGTTAAAATGAAATTGCTTAAGCATTTAGTTTCAAAGTAATATGTTCTTAATAGGAAGAATCGAGAGAGTATAAGGAACAAATAAGAAAATAAAAATTCTTTTCATTCCTTCAAAGAAAACCACTATTTAACAGCTTTTGACCACATATAGCCAAATTTAAGGTAAGGATCAAAATTATTTCTAAAAAGCATAATCTTTTATGCTTACGCTTAACTGACTGAGCCACCCAGGTGCCTCAGAAAAAAACATTTTTTTAAATAATGAGTTTAAGGGGAAAAGTTACGGAATCTTGAGCTTCTACTGATATTTTCAAAAAATTCAATATTAATATTTTCCCTTTTGTTTTGCCTTTTTAACACTATTCTCCTATACTCAAAATCTTTATCCATATTTCTTTTTTAAAGATTTTATTTACAGTTTATTTGACAGAAAGAGAGACAGCGAGAGAGGGAACACAAGCAGGGGGAGTGGGAAAGGTAGAAGCGGGCTTCCTGCTGAGCAGGGAGCCCGATGCAGGGCTCGATCCCAGGACCCTGGGATCACGACCCGAGCTGAAGGCAGATGCTTAACCGACTGAGCCACCCAGGCACCCTATCCATAATATATTTACTTGTGTTATTCTGTGATAACATAAAATTGTTTTACAATCCTATCGAAATAATATTCTAAGTAAAGTTGAATGATTTTATGTTTGTTGCAGCTTTTATCCTTAGAATATATCACACTTAAGATACACAGTCAAAATACTGTTTTTAAAAGTTATGTGACTTTTGGGCGCCTGGGTGGCAAGCGTCTGCCTTCGGCTCAGGTCATGATCCCAGGGTCCTGGGATCGAGTCCCTGCATTGGGCTCCCTGCTCCGCGGGAAGCCTGCTTCTCCCTCTCCCACTCCCCCTGCTTGTGTTCCTGCTCTCACTGTCTCTCTCTGTCAAATAAATAAATAAAACCTTTAAAAAATAAAAAATAAAAAAAAGTTATGTGACTTTTGGGGTGCCTGGGTGGCTTAGTCCCAAGTCTTTTTTTCTTTTTCTTTTTCTTTTTTTTTAAGATTTTTCTTTATTTGTCAGAGAGAGAACAAGCTAGGAGAAGCAGCAGGCAGAGGGAGAAGCAGACTCCCCACTGATCAGGGAGCCCATTGCGGGGCTCAGTCCCAGGACTCTGGGATCATGACCCAAGCTGAAGGCAGACGCTCAACCGACTGAGCCACCCAGGCATTCCAAGCGTTCCCGAGTCTTGATTTTGGCTCAGTCATGATTTCTCGGTAGTGGGATTGAGCCCCATGGAGTCTGCTTGGGATTCTCTCTCTCCCTCGCCCTCTGCCCTTCCCCCTGCTCTCCCACGTGCACACTCTCTCAATAAATAAATAGGTAAGTGTATATATGTATGTATATGTGTAGGTTACCTTTTTTTCTATATGCTGTGTGCTCAGTGTGGTAAACAGCCTTTTTTGTCCTTTCTTTTTTTCCTGTTTGTATTCAGGTTTAGGGGTTGCTTTATTTCTGTCTTTTCTGGTTTAAATTTAGAACATTTGCATGTTTAAAGAGTCAAAACTGAGTTGACACATGTACCCAGAGAAGTCTAATATCCATTGCTATTCCCTCTACTCCATTCTTATCTTCTCCCACCAACCTTTAGTTTCTGATTTATTGTTTCTCTTCTTTCAGTAAAATGTGCACACATGTATTGTTTTCTCTTCCACGTTATAGCATGCTAAGTGTACATTATGTTAATCCTGTTTTTAAGGAGTTGAAATTATTGAATGAGCTTGAAAATTGTAGCTCTACATAATTTTTTAAAATTTTATATTTTGAATTAGAAAATAATTTTTTAAAGTTTTTAAACAGTTTTTAGAAAACAGCTTTATAGTTGCCAAGGAGGAAATTAAACTCCCATGTTTTTATAGAGTATAGAACATACTAATTGAATTGGTTCGTGAAAATTTATAGTCAAATATTTAACTTTAAACCTCTTCTGTAACAGTCCCTTTTTTTAATAAGAGAGACACCACCACGTTAGTGGATATGTATAAAAGGCCCCTAAAATGAATTTAATCTGTTTCAGACTTCTGGGCCATTGGGAAGAAGCAGCACATGATCTTGCCCTTGCTTGTAAACTGGATTACGATGAAGATGCTAGTGCAATGCTGAAAGAAGTTCAGCCGAGGGTATGTTCCAAGTAGGGAGAGGGAACGTCATCACTGTGATGCTCTGTGGCTCTAGTACTTAGCCCCTGGCAGTAATTTATCTGGAGAACAGATACAAAGAAAGAAATGTTTGGATATTTCCATCCGTAATTACTGATGTTGGTGTTCAGCTCAGGAAATGTCAATAGTTTGTCATGCCTTTATTTCTCATGCTGCATTACAGCAAGCTCTGTTACTTTGTTGTTTGCAAGCCTACAGTAGAGTTATAACCAGAAAGTTAGAAATGGAAAAGGGGGCATCAAGTTCACAGCAAGGAAAGAAACAGAAAATCTATAAAATGTGACCCAAGGTTGTGCCTGGTCTGTCCTTGTTTATCGTAGGTATATGCAGCCACTGTATAAAGCATGAGGGCCTTGTGGAAGTTAGCAAGTTTCATCCTTTTAAAAATGGTAATATTGACTCCAAAAGCCAGAATATTTTTTAAGGTAATTGTTAAAATAATTTTAATGCATTATTTACATGGTAAATTACTCAGCTTTGTGGGATGTTAACACTACCAAGAATTTATTCCCAAAGGTTATAAGGAAATTTTATTGAATTTAACTTATCTATAGTCAGAGACTTTTTGATTTTTTTCCTCTCATAACAGGGCTAACTCCAAGGTTATGGTGAGAGAGTCTAGAACATGAGATTCTTAAAAAATGATGATAAACAAGCTGAAGTAACAATTGAATATGACTCTTACATTTATTTAATTTCTGAATAATAGATTCCAAATATTTGGCCTAGGCTATGTGCTAGTGCCTGTAACATACATTTTCTCTTAATGTTCATAGCATTCTATAAGACAAGTATTTCTCTTCCCTGCCCCCTCATTTTGTGGATGAGAAAACTTTAGTGTGGTTAGAGTGTGGCAAATAACTGGTGTGTGCGTTCCCAATCTTTGCCTTCCCTTGGCCAGTATCAGGCAAGAATTGTGCAATTTGAAAACTTGTCATCCTTGCAGTACTTTTTTGAAATTTATAACACTCCTAACTTCACTTCTTAGTCTCTTTCCTTTATTTCACAGTGGACTTGTTAAAGTGTGAGTTATGTAAGGTCTTTTTCTGTAAGGTAAATCTGTCATTATTCAGAACTGTTCGTTGAATTTAACACCTCTCCACAAAGAAAAATGATTCTTTAACAAAACTGGTGATTTGGGTTGCCCTTATTCAGCTTTTAAAGAAAACATTTTTTCTGTGGCTTTTTTTCCCCTAGGCCCAGAAAATTGCTGAACATCGGAGAAAGTATGAGCGAAAACGTGAAGAGCGAGAGATCAAAGAAAGAATAGAAAGGGTTAAGAAGGCTCGGGAAGAACATGAGAGAGCCCAGAGGGTAAAGTTTCTGTAGCTAAACCATTAAAGGGAAATAAAGTAGATTAGAGTTTGAGGATATCATTCTAATTCCTGGCTCTTGCTTAATGCTGGCCTCGTTCTGTAGGGTAATGATACTACTTAGAGTTTCCTTCCCTTCTTTATCTCCAATTTGTAGGAATATTTTTTTTCTTAAATTCCTAAGCGAGCTTATATATCACCAGTTTATATTCTTGTTTGTGTCCTCCTAAAATTGGGAGGTTTTTTGGTCAGGTAATTAAAACTTGTCAGTGTTACTTGTTTCCTTGTGGATGCTTGCCCTGATTTGTTGAGTTTTATGATTCCTTCTTTTCGAATAGTGGATTTATAGCTTTTTAAAATAGACTCTAGCTATTTTTTATTTTAAGTCACAAAGTCATAAAATTTAGAAAAATTATTCGTAATTCATCCACAATATTGTTGTTGTTAAGATGTCTCATTTTTTTCTAGATTAGCTTTTTGCATTTTGATGCTATCAGTTTTCATTTAGTTATTTCCAATATTGTTGAAGTAAAAGGACATAAAGCTATATTATAATTATATAGCATTACTTCCTAACTTTGTCCTTCAATATTAAATATTAATACTTAACAAAATTAATAAAATTGTAATTATAATGAATGAATTTAGTAAGATTTAATAAAGTTAATATTAAATGTTTTTAAAGCATCATGCTTGGTTTTTAGGATTATAGTTACTGTATTCAAAAGTAATTTTTACATTTATATATCCTTGATGACTTTATAACTGGTTATGAGGGAAATTTATTTTCTTTTGCTTTGTTTGCTGAATAACAAATTCGTAAACCCCGGTTGTATTTGTTAAGTTATGTAGAGAAAGTATGGAAAAGATGAACTTGGGAAACAGAAGTTATTGGCAGTCTTCGTAATCTAACCATGTGCTTTCATTTTGGAGTTTTAACAACATGCAGAATTTATACTTTGTGGGGTGCCTGGGTGGCTCGGTTGGGCAACTGCTTTCGCCTCAGGTCATGATCCCGGAGTCCTGGGATTGAGTCCCACGTTGGGCTCCCAGCTCTGCACGGGGAGCCTGCTTCTCCCTCTGACCCTCTCCCCTCTCATGCTGTTTCTCTCTCTCTCTCTCTCTCTCTCTCTCAAATAAATAAAATTTTTAAAAAAAATTTATACTTTGCATAAGCATAGACAGACATCAGTACTGTATATTGCTTTCCAGGTGTTGTTTTTTTTCCTGCCCCAAGTAGAAGTAAAACACTACTTGACATCATTCCAGAAGTAATAATGCTCATTGACAACCTAGCTGGAAAATTTTGAAAGATTTGGGGTGTGTGTCCTTTAGTTCAGTATTGCCATTTGAAACTCGTCATTCTCTTAAGTCCTCTGACTAGCTGATTTTACAATTTTTTTCATGGTTTTGCATGGGTAGGTTACGGGTGGACAGTAGACTCACCACCAGCACCACCACTATATGATTTCTTTATTTCTTTGTATTAAAGGAGGAAGAAGCCAGACGACAATCAGGAGCTCAGTATGGCTCTTTCCCAGGTATTTTTAAAGAAAATTGAAAGCTATTAGGATTGTAAATAATTGGAGAGTATTCTGATTTGGGGGCTCAAATATGTCTGTTATATGTAGTACTATTAGTCCCTGGAAATACCGAAAAGAAAAGCCTTTAGAATGTAAGCCTCTAGAAATTTTCATGCTCCTTTAAAAATTGTATGTTAGTAGAAATACAGTATATTATTTTCCTCACACTTTTGAGCAATATACTTTTTTATAATAGCTAACATTTAGTGAGGACTGAGCATTGTACTTTTCTAAGAGACTGTGAATTGATTACGATGTATTTTAAGTGTTTCTAAATTAGAACTTTAAATTGAAACAAATAATGTTAGAGAATGAGAAAATATGACAACCAAGATGACTTATTAGACTTTTTAGTTTTGTAATTCCAAGGGATTGTTAGCTTTCTCTTTAAGGGTATGGTTAGTTTTCTTTTTTTTTTTTAACAGTTTTATTATTAGGAAAAAATAAATGCAGAAGTTAGCAAAGTTGATTTACAGCCTTATTTTTTAAGAAAAAATTTGAAGATAAAATTATGTCCTGTTAATATCCTGTTAGAATGTTTAGACTGCTTTGGGTTTAATAGCCCCCTTGTTCTTTGCATATGCATGTGTGAGTGTGTGTGTGTGATTTTCATCAGAAGGAGATAGTCTACTATCAGACTACTTGAGAATATGGTTGGTGTCTAAGCAATTATTTCATTTATTCTTGCAGGTGGATTTCCTGGGGGAATGCCTGGTAATTTTCCTGGAGGAATGCCTGGAATGGCAGGGGGGATGCCTGGAATGGCAGGAATGCCTGGGCTCAATGAAATTCTTAGTGATCCAGAGGTTCTCGCAGCCATGCAGGTAAGACTTGGAAGAACAAAGTTGGGCTTTGTATCACTAAGACATTTCTTTCATTAATTCTTTGTAGAGACAAAGGTTACTCTGTTAGCTATGTTTTACTTATCTGAATTACCAAATAGCTAATGATGCAGTTAGACCATTTTTTTTTCAGAATGAGTAGCTTAAGTTATTAAAAATTGGTTTATAAGAAATACTCTGTAACAGTTTGATTATATCCAGTTGTCCTTTTCTTTTTTTATTTATGTTCCAAGTTTTTATTTCAATTCTAGTTAGTTAACATAGAGTGTAATATTAGTTTCAGGAGTAGAATTTTGTGATTCAGTTGTCCTTTTTATCAAAATTGTGTATGCTTTTTTTCATTAGTTAAAGTGACATAATTGGCATTTGACTTTGAAGTGCACGTTAGTAATATTTATACTTCAGGGTCTTGTCCAGACCCCATTTAACTTGGCTGTGACAAAGTCGTCAGTCTAAATAAAGACCTAGGATTTCAGATCATAAACTTGTTAAACCACAGAACTCTTTTTTAAATACTAAAAAAACCCACCACCTTTCTTTGCAGGATCCAGAAGTTATGGTGGCCTTCCAGGATGTGGCCCAGAACCCAGCGAATATGTCAAAATATCAGAGCAATCCAAAGGTTATGAATCTCATCAGTAAATTGTCAGCCAAATTTGGAGGTCAAGCGTAATGCCCTTCTGACAAATAAAGCCCTTGCTGAAGGAAAAGCAACGATCACCTAATGGATGTCGCAATAATACAAACCAGTGTACCTCTGACCTTCTCATGAAGAAAGCTGGGGTGCTGTGAAGAGAATCCCTACCCCTCTGCCCCACATGCAACTGAAACATTCTATAGTGGTTTGCCATTAGGGTATTCATTCAGATAATGTTTTCCTACTAGGAATTACAAACTTTAAACACTTTTTAAACCTTAAAAATATTCAAAAACATATTAAAAGGGTGTGTTAGTCCCTACATTTTTCTTTACTAATCATTTCAGTTTTTTTCCTTTGGATTAATTGGGCAAGGAAGATACTTCAGTGTGGAAGATTGATTGCTCAGTTTGAGTGAAAGGTTTATTAGTGGGAGGTAGATACAACATTTAAATAGATGGAAGTTTGAGTTGGAGATATGGTTTCTGAGGCATTTTGACTTGTCTTTTTAAAAGCTTTATTTTTTAAACAATTTATTTGGATAAAACCATTGGGACCACCAGTATTGCAGTATGACTGGGTAGGGACCGGAAGTGCTTGGCAGGGCAGCAGCAATCTTACTCCTTTTATATAGTGTGCACCCTTGTGCAGATGCATTTAAATCTTACACTGTGGTGAAGGGATAATTTTTATAATGCTGCAGTAGAATTGGATTACTTAGCTGTGTTCTTGTCTGATATAGAAAATAAATGTTTGCATTATTTCCACATAGGGGAAATAAGGGAATACTTTTCTTTTTATATTTCTGTGTTTAGAGTGACCTTCCTGGTCAGAAAATACCCATCTCTTTGTGTGCTTTCTACTTGTTTTCACCTCCCCCCTGCCCCCCCATACTCTTTTTGGGCTAAAGATAGGCCTTTTTCACTGGCTTCATCACTACTGTATCATTCACAGCATAATTGTGCAAGTATATGTCATGCTGGGTTTAATATGTAATATAGTGATTATGTAAGGTAATACCCATAACAGCTGTAGTTTCTTACTTGGCCAAGCGATTTCATTTAAATTACAGGTTTCCACTTTGGTGAAATCTTACCATGTCAAAAGATGTTGGAAGGAGGGATTCCCTTTGGTGTTCAGTCTTCTACTTGGGAAATACTGTTGCAGTTGGAGTTTATCTTACATTATTCATCTTCATAGTTTGGAGAGTATGAGGTTTGAATTCATTGATACACATAGAGGGGAACCAAACTTCTTGATCCAACATGAATTATAAAATTGATGAGATCCATGGTTCTTCATTTTGGGGTTGATGAGTCACTGTGCTCCTGTTTAGCTCCTAAATACTGCACCATATTCCCCACCTCTCCTTTTTCTCCCTCCCTCTCCTCCAAGGATAAAGAAATGATAAATTTTCTGTTGCACATTCAACGCTCAACATTAATTAAGACTAAGTCCAGGCATTGTACCAGGAATTGCTAGGGTTCTACCTGTCTTTCAATTTAAAGTGCTGGTGTTGATAAAAACAGTTTCAAGGGTAGGGATGAGACCCTCTGTACTTTGCTTATTTTGAAGAATCAGTGGTAGGAGCAGTGAAAAAAATTCCATGGAATACATTTTTGAAGTAGCACATTTCTGAAGTCATAAGTAAGTTGATTCAGGTTCTAACCCTTTGCTGTACACAAGCAGATAGAAATGCATCTGTTACATGAGTGAGAAAAGGCTGTATGCTAACTGAGCATGCTTTTAAAACCCTTTAAAAATACTCAGCATATAAACTTGCGTTTGAGCTTGCCAGTGGTTTTTTTTTTGTTAATGTGTGTTCTCAGATTTTCTAATGTGTGCTGTGAATAACTCAAGAAGACCAGTTCCTTTTGGCTTCCTTATTTGATTTACTTAATTATATATTAAGTACATTCTAACATTGCAAACATTACCGTAAGTGGGTAAAAGTAAAATTGGTCTTCTGAAAATGTGTCCTGTGCTTTTAAGTTCCACAAATACAAAGTACATTCATTTTCATAGAAACTCAGTATCATTTCTAAACCAGAAGTGTTTTTTCTTGTGCTAACAATGATATAAGAAGGAAAAGTAAAGGAGTTTTTTTCTGCTTAAAAATATATAGTTACTTGATTTCTAGCTACATTAAAAATAAAGTATGGTTTCAAACTGGATATTGACCCCCCACTTTTTTTTCCCCAGCACATGTTCTGTTTCTTTTAAAGGTCTTTAGCACTCAAGTTATTTGCTGGACATAGTAGGCTTCAGTTTTATAATGTGCTGTTAACAATGACTTCTAAGAATACTTAGACTGTTAAACAGAACTTTTCTTTCAGGTAGCAGTCCAGAGGTAAGCCATTCTGCCATCTGTTTCTGAGTCCAAAAGTGCTTGCTCTCATGCTCATCTTGTAGCTTGAGGAGAGGGCGCAAGGGAAGCACGTACTGAGATACTGATGCTGATACCCATAGTTAACATTTTATTACTTCTCATAGCCCATTGGTCTTTTTTTTTTTTTTTTTTTAACCTCTTGAGACCATATTTACCTGCAAGGAATAGTCCACTGCTGTATGGTCATGTGCCCAGTAAAAAATTACACTATAAAAGAAAGGGAGAAAAGACATGGGGTAACAACTAGCAGGCTGCCACTTTGGGAAAAACTGGCCTAATGGGATAAGGGAGAAACAAATCGTATTTTAGAGATTTGTATTATCTAACATAAATGCACCCAAGTAGCCACTTAGGTAAGTAGTACTTATGTGCCAGGCACTCTGTAATCAATTTGAAAGCATTGACTCCATTCTGATAATGACCGTACGGTAAGTGCTCTTCCCATTTTATATAGATGAGGAAACTGAAGCACTTAAGTAAATTGCCCAAGTTAACACCCCTGATTATTTGGAAAGCTGGTATTCTCACTAGGTTTGTTCGGTCTTCCTCTTTTATGTTCTGCTGCCCTCTCTGTACAAGGTTGCTGCTTGGCAGAATTGTTCATGACTTCAAGAAATTGGAAACAAAATACATTTGAAGAGGATTGATTAAGGAATATCACACATCATTGGGTGTACTGATATGCACACCCAACGGATTAATAATAAGGGATGTAGCATAATTGAAGTGCTTAAAACACTTGACAGGTCCAATAATGACAAGAAAAAATAGTTTTTTAAAATTGTGCGATAATTTTAAAGTTTAGTATTTACAATCTATAGCATACCTGTTAAGAATGCATAGTTTGGGGAGGAAAATACCCTGAAGTAAATAGGCAACAGATATTAAGATAGCTGTTAAGCTTTTGATAAGAGTAAATTTAAACTATGGTGTATCAAATTGGTGGTTTTAAATATCTTGGCAATTCATTGAGACCTTTAGTGTTGGTAGGAGTGTAACAATTTTCTATAAAGTTGTCTCTAAGAATTTTGACACTCTTTTTTTTGGTGGAATCCTAGTGTTAAACTACATTCTAAGTATAAGGAAAAGCCAGAGTAGCAAGGAGGTAAATAGAGCTAGTGTAAAAGACGTGTATGTGGCTCTGAAAATCTTGGTATCTGGCACGTAATCAAGAGATCTTTAAGTAGTTCACTCTCCCCCAGATCACTAGGAGGTTGTCAGGTTGCAGTTAAGTAACCTGACCATAAATCTGCCAGTGTAGAAGCATCATACATGAAATGTTAAGTTCTGGATAGGTTCCTTTAATCACTTTGTGTTCGATGGCATGGGTGTAAAAGAACACGCGTAATTTTTTATATACTATTTATATAGTGGAGGGCTTGATGCCTCTAAGGGAGCCCTCTTTAAGGAAAATATGTAATTATGAATACTAAAGTAGATGTAAAAGTGAGTGGTTAGAACGAAGCAAAAATTGCAGGTCTTAAAAATTGGAAATCTCTCAAAATCACAACTACAGAGACAGTTTTTGTTTTTTAAGGATTTATTTGTCACAGCATAGAAGCAGGGGGACTGGCAGGCAGAGGGAGAAATGGGCTTCCCCGCTGAGCAAGGAGCCTGATGTGGGGCTAGATCCCAGGATCCTGGGATCATGACCTGAGCCAAAGGCAGACGCTTAACGACTGAGCCACCCAGCGCCCCTAAATAAAATCCTAAAAAAAACGTGGGGCACCTGGGTGGCTCAGTTGGTTAAGCATCTATCTGCCTTTGGCTCCGGTCATGATTTCAGGGTCCTGGAATTGAGCCCCGCATCAGGCTCTGCTCAGCAGCAAATCTGCTTCTCCCTCTCCCTCTGATCTCTCACTTTAAAAGAAAAAAAGTCTTTTGCTTAAGTTGTATCTCTGTTTTAGTACCAGCAAACTATTTTCATTTGATGTTTGGATCTCCGCTTTTCTGTCATGATCCTAGGGATTGATGAGAGTGTTCGTGGAAGCCATTTCTACAACAGGTCTAGCAGTAACAACCATACGTATAAGTAGATACCACTAAATCTGGTGTTCCCAACTCACGTTTCATTTAACTTATGGTCACTGTAGCACCACCCTAAATGAAGGGGAATTTAAGTGGAAAGATCTTTTAAGATATTTTATGCAAATTTTGTGAAAAGATGGAGGGAAACATTGTTAGGGCCCTCTCCTGAGCAGTAAATATGATAATGGGCATAATAAAGCACGGAGCAGGCATGTAGTAAGCTCTCAGGAATTATCACAGGGTGTATTGTAAGGGGAACCTGGTGGAGACATACGGCAATGGCACTCCAGTAGAGTGAAGTTGGAGTCCTGAGACCTTGTGTCTCTCAGTATGATCTAGGCTATAGGTTGAAAGTGGTTTCTCCAGTTCTTTGTAGTACAATTGGTTCTTCACTTCAGAAGATGTGAAGATTTTTTTAAGTACGTCTACATAAATTAGCTTTTGTAATCCTTACAGCAATGGAGTTGTATTAACACCGTCACTTAACAAAGAAAACCTGGGCGCCTGGGTGGCACAGTAGGCTGGGCGACCAACTTCTTGTGTAGGGTGGTGAGATCGAGCCCCAGCCCCACAGGGCTCTGTGCTCAGCAGAGTCGGCTTGAGATTCTCTCCCTCTGCACCTCCCGCTCGTGTTCTCTCGAGTAAGTAAACCTTAAAAAGGGTGGGGGGGGAGAAAAAGCAAAGGGGTTAAATGACTTGCCTAGTTGCTAACAAGTATACTGCGGGGTGTGGGGCTTCTGTGAGTCCAGTCCCGGGATATGGCTGCATTGGATCGCTTTGATCTCAAGTTCCATTTTGTCTTCCTACCATACGCGGGGAGAAACTTGCCCAATCAACATTTCCTTTCGGATAAAATGTGACTTTAAAAATACTGTCGAGAGAAAACAGAAGTTAACTTGCAAAGAAACAGGAAGATTTGAGTCCCCATCTTGCCAGTTACCAGCCTGTCTTACGGAGGGAAGGTGGCCATCTAGGCCTTCTAAATCCCAAAGTCGAAGCACAACCCGCCAGGTCCCCGAACTCGAGAGGGTACTCCAGTCAGACCCAGGAGGCGGCTACGTGCTCTCTGTCAGGCTCTTCCGCGTGGTTGGGCCAGCGCTTCTCTGCCCCCGCCCCCGCATGCCCCGAGGGCCAATCAGAGCCAAGGGACTTTCTCAGGCCCGCCTTTCTCTTCCAGCCCCTGCGGCCTCTGCCTGGGAGACCGGGCGCCCTGCGACCCGGAAGTGGTTGTTCTGGAGGAGGCGGGCCTGAGGAGGTGGGGTCTGTGACGCTCACGCCCCGGGCTCTGGCGCTTCTTTACTCTCCGCTAGCTGCGACCTGAGGGAAAAGTGTTGCTAGGTCTGTGGGGAGCCACAGCAATGCCCTCCGTGCTGTCCTACGAAAGCCTGGTCCACGCTGTGGCCGGAGCCGTGGTGAGGCGGGGTCTTCACGCCCGGGGCCACTGCGGGGTGTGGGGCTTCTGTGGGTCCAGTCCCGGGATATGGCTGGGGGATGGGGATGAGAGGGAGATGGTGGGTTGGTATCTGCAGTCGTGACTGTGGGACAGGGAGGAATGAGACGTAGGCGAGAAGGTGCTGGAACAATTTGGGGTGAGGGCCAGCACACCCTTCGCCCCTGTTTTGAGCTCTTAGAAAATATCTGGGATATAGACAGCGATGATCCCACATACCCACAGAGAGCCTGGAAGAAAATAATTGCCGTTTTCTTTGCCTTCTGAAATTTAAAGACCAATCACCTCCCTTAAAGGCCACCACAGACACAAACTTTGTTTCACTGGGCCGGAGGAAAACGTAGATGAGAAGCTGTGTTACTTAGTCACGCGCTTCCCTATAGCCAATTTTCATACCCTTGCTGCAGACAGGTGACAGTACTTAGGATATCTCTGGCCAATATTGGCAGAAGATACTTTTTTTTTTTTTTTTTAATCAGGATGAGAGTTGCTGTCTACCACAGGTATGGTTTGCTGTGAGGTATGTGCGTGGGTCTTGGGTTTGTGGATGTCTCAGTTCCATTTGACACCACTCTCTTTTCCTTGACATTTTCCACTCTTGGCTTGGGTAGCTTCCTCCTCTGGTTGTCCTCTTAACTCTCTGACTGCCCTTTCTCGTATCCTTCTCCGCTGTCAAGATGCACCTTTAGCAGTTGGAATCACTGTGACTTCAGAGGCATATCAGAGTCGTTTCCTTTTAGCCAGCAAAACTTGACTGAGAGCTCTTCCGTGTCACTAATCAGGGATGAACCCCAACTCTATCATTTGTTAGATAGGTGACCTGTAAATTTCATTTCCTAACCTCTAAAGTAGGAGTGTTGAAACCTACGTCACAGATTTGTTTTTAGAGTTAATTGACAAAATACGTCATGGAAGTGCCTGATTCAGGAGTCTTGGTTCATTTAATTAAACCAGAACAGCCTTTCGGCCAGTACAAAGACGGTGAAATGGAAGCTTGCTTGACATCATCTAGGATGGTCATGGAAGCCTATGTGTCTGGAGTGGAGGGAATAAAGAGGCAGAAAGGCTTCAGGGGACCAAACTATATCAGACTTTAATTCTGAGTAGGAAAGAAAGCTAGCTAACTTTTGGAGGTCTTGAGCATCCAGCAACTTGGTGATTTTTACATTTTAAACATGATCACCCTGCCTGCTCTGATGAGAGTAAACTGTAAGGGAGTAAAGGTGGAAGTAGGGAAATTGTCAGGGGGCTGTTACGTCATCTCAAGCAAGAGATGATGGTGGCTTGGACTAGGATAGTAGCGTGGAGGTGGTTAGAAGTGATCATTAACCTGGAATATAGTTGTAAGATAGAGTCGCCAGGATTTGATGGTGGGTTGGATATGGGGTATAATAGATTGAGGGTTGGTTGACTCCCCAAGAGTTTTTGGCTTGAGCAACTGGAAACATTTACATTTACTGAGATAATGAAGACTATAACTGAGCAGGTCTGGGAGAAAGATTAGTTTTGGATTAGTTCAGTTTGAAATGCCATGAGACTAGATAAGTGTGGACTGAGAAAAGTCTGGAAGACTGAGTGAGCATGCCAACATTAAGAGATTTCAGAAGTGAGATAGCACCTGCAAAGGAGACTAAGGAAGGGCCTATTGGGTAGGAGGAAAACTAAGAGAATGTGGTGTTCTGAAAGTCACATGGAGAACGGTAAAGATCAACTGGGTCAAATAAGAAGTGAGAATTAGCCATTGGATTTATTAACTTGTTTCTCAATATGATAAATTCATTGGTTAATTGACAAGTCACATTTTGGTAGATGGTGTAGTGAATAGTTGAAGTGCATCTTAGGAAGAATGGGAAGATGGGAAGTGTTTGTTTTCCTTTCTATCAATAAATGCCATTCATTCAGCACCTGTACAGAGTGCTTTCTATGTGCCGTGTAGTGTCCTAGGTGCTAGAAATATATTGGAAAACAAAGTCATTTTATTCATGAAGAGTGCATTTGATGGGGAAGTCAGACAGTAATTGATGAAACAAAAAATAAATTATTTTTGATAGTATTAAGTGCTATAAAGAAAAGCATTGGCAGACTTTTTCTGTAAGAAGGTAGTTGGTAAATATTTTAAATTTTGTGTACAGTCTGGTGCAGCTACTCAGCATGGCCATGACAGTGCGAAAGTAGCCATTGACAATAAGTAAATGAATGAGTGGAGCTGAGTTCCAAAAAAATCCTGTTTACAAAACCAGACAGTGGTTTGGATTTGGCTCTTGGGCCATAGTTTTCTGAGCCTTACTATAGAGAGTGACTGTAGGTGGAGGTAATATATTTCCATGTAACCTACAAAGACATTTCTATATTTTTCTCTCCTTGTTGCCTATTTTTCTCTTGTTAATTTTTTTTTTTTTTAAGATTTTGTTTGAGAGAGACAGAACGAGCGGTGAGGAGGGGCAGAGGGGGGGAGAGAGAGAGAGAGAGACAGAGGAGCAGACTCCCTGCTGAGCAGGAAGCCTGGTATGGGCCTAGATCCCAGGACCTAGAGATCATGACCTGAGCCAAAGGCAGATGCTTAACCAACTGAGCCACCCAGGTGCCCCATCTCTTGTTAAAGTTATGCTTGAAATTATGCACCCTGAATTTGTTATGGTTTTTCTTTCTTCCATAAGCTGCGTTAGATTATCTAATAGATATGCTTTTTAAGAATTTTTTTTCTCGGGGCGCCTGGGTGGCTCAGTCGTTAAGGGTCTGCCTTTGGCTCAGGTCATGACCTCAGGGTCCTGGTATCGAGCCCCGCATTGGGCTCCCTGCTCAGCGGGAAGCCTGCTTCTCCCTCTCACTCCCCTTGCTTGTGTTCCTTCTCTCGCTGTGTCTCTTTCTGTCAAATAAATAAAGTCTTTAAAAAAAAAAAGAAATTTTTTTTCTCATGCTTCCCCTCAGGGCAGTAATGTTCCTAGCACATATCTGAGAAGTTGCATTGTGTTTTGTTTTTTTTTTTAAGATTTTATTTATTTATTAGAGAGCGAGCGAGGGAGAGAAACAGCATGAGAGGGGAGAGGGGAGAGGGTCAGAGAGAGAAGCAGGCTCCCCACTGAGCCGGGAGCCCGATGGGGGACTCGATCCCAGGATCCGGGATCATGACCTGAGCGGAAGGCAGTTGCTTAACCAACTGAGCCACCCAGGCACCCTGCATTGTGTTTTTGTTAATTTTTTTTTTTTGAACTATTATGCTGAAGAATGTTCTCAAACTTTTTTTTTTTTGCAAACGTCATGTTAAACCATGTAACGTAGGCCTTTCTTCTGGTTGCTACCAAAGGAAAAAAATTTCACCACAAAAATGTCACTGCAGTTGATAAGAAAAATGGCATTGCTTTTAATGCTATAGGCTTGTCATGGCTCGTGTTTAATTAAATGTCCTGAGCATAGTGTTCAACCAAAGCTTTGAGATGATCAAGGGGTCTGCTTAGCATAGTGGTTAAGAGTACTTGAGTGCCTGAGTGCCTGATCTGAGCTAGGCATCCTGGGTCAGAATCCTGGCTCTGCCTCTCAATAGCTGCATGACTTCCTATAAACTCCAAGCAAGCCTGCCTAGAGTAGTTGCTTCTCCCCAAAGGATTGTTGGATCATTGCTTAAGATGTTGATTTACAACTTTTGAGTTGACATGTTTCATGTTTGCTTATTTGCTTCCAAGTTCTACATTTTCACATCAAGTGTGGTATATGCATACACACATTTAAAAATTAAAATAAACTGATTTTGAGTGTTTTGTGGCACACCTTGGGGTAACTGCAGATAATCTCAAGTATTTGAAAATTAGAATTGTACTATTTCAGGAGACTGCTATAGCTCTAATGGATGATTATTATATGATATAATTAATGGCCTCATTCATAAATATTTCTCAAAATTTTGAGTATAATTAGGTTTATAATTTTATATTTTGAGTTCTCATTAGATTAGTTTTGAAAGGTAGATTCTATTTGTAGAAATGTACATTTGTAATTAAAAGAAATTTTATTAATCTACAATTTGAAAAGTGTAATTGGTTAGAATTGCCTAAGTGGGGTTTAGACACTGAAACAGATTTTGGAATTGTAATGCTAATAATTAATCAGGGAACTTCTTTTCTCTCTATAGTTAATTTTAATTTTTTTTGTTTTTTAATTGCATAATTTATGTTTAGAGTAGGAGTTTGCTAGGCAAAATAAAACAGGAGGATAATAAGAGACTTTTAGACACAAAAAGCATGGGCAAAGGTCCTCATATGTAAATCAGCATGTGGAGAACTTCAAGTTAGTTCTGACATAGCTGGTATAAAAGATGAGAGACGAGTAGAAGCCTTGTGTAGTTGGGGAATCTCATACTATGCAAAGAAATTTGGGTTAAATTTTATCAGAAACAGTGTTTGTCAGAATTGGTTGTGTCTTCCTCATTGTGTTTTGTCTGTTTATATTCAAATAAGCATTTACAAATAAATTTTTTGTTTATATAACTGGTATTATAGAGTTTAATATCCTGGGGGTTTTGGTGTGTTTGTTTCGGAATATAAAGCATTTCCCCATGTATATCAATTAGGGTTCTCTGGTTGCAAGCTGGAGAAACAGACTTTGGGTAATTTAACAAAACAAAAGTTTATTGGCAGGCTTTTTGGAAGCTTCCAGGACAGGATCAGTGAGGAGGCTGAAGACTTGAAGTAGGAAAGAACCAACATACTCCACTGGAGTTTTTCCTCACCTCATATGGCCAGTTTTAGATTCACAGCAAAATTGAGAGTGTTGGACACCACTAATGGAATCAGTGTATTTTGTCCCTCTACAGGATTCTGCTCAAGATTTAAAGTCATAGGAGAGTCCCTGTTAGACGTGCTCAAGGTTATGTGCCCAGTCCTTGACTGTATCAGGTGGGAATAGTGTCTCTCAAAAGAAGCCTTCCAGGACTCTTCAGCTAGTGTAGTGGAGGGTGGGCACCTCAATTTACCATCCTACCAAAATTGTACACAGTGGGAAGAGGTAGAGAAGATCAGGCTGCCCTTAGGAAGAGGGAATGATGCCATGTGGCTCAAAACATCAGATATCCACTATGTCATGTCATTAAAAAGATTTCAAAAAGTATTGTTTTTTTAATACAAAATATTCTATCATATGAGTATTCCATAATTTATTTATGGACATATACATCATTTCTAACTTTTCACTGGTAAACACTTAGTGCAATGTAAATGTTAATGTGGCCTCCCAGACCCCGTTATGGAGAATCTATGGACTTGCTTAGTTAAGTGATTTCCCTAATGTCATTCATTAGAAACAAAAACCTCGGGGCACCTGGGTGGTTCAGTAGTTAAGCGTCTGCCTTCTGCTTAAGTCATGATCCCAGGGTCCTGGGGCCGGGCTCCCTGCTCCTCAGGAAGCCTGCTTCTCCCTCTCCCACCCCCCCTGCTTGTGTTCCCTCTCTCTCTGTGTATCTTTGTGTCAAATAAATAAATAAAATCTTTAAAAAAAAAAAAAGAAACAAAAACCTCTATTTCCAGATTCAGTTTAGTTAACTCAGATTTTAATTTGTAAAATGTCTATAACCTCACAGGGTTTTGTGAATATTAATTAAATAACATAAGTAAAACAGCTTTTATGGTATCTGACACATAAAAGGGGCTCAATAAATGGAAGCTATTAATCATTTTGTGCACAATTACATTTTCTAATTTTCTGTGCATCCTAACTTGATTTAGTGAATTTGATGTTATATTTAATAGTAGTATTTAGTACTTAGAATTCCCTAACTTCTTTTTTTTAATAAGATTTTATTTTTTTAAATAATCTCTACACCAAATGTGGGGCACGAACTCACAACCCTGAGATCAAGAGTCACATACTCTACCAACTGAGCCAGCCAGGCACCCCTAGAATTACCTTACCTCTTAACCCCCTCTCACATCTGTTAACAACTCTGACCACTCAAGTGGTTAAAAGTGTGGGCTCTGAAACCAGACTGCCTGAGCTCCAACTCTGCCATTTACCATCTGTGTGACTTTGGGCATGTTTCTTAACCTCTCTTTGCCTCAGTTTCTTCATCTGTAAAAAGGGGAAAATAATAATACCCACCTCAGGGTTGTTTCTGAGGCTTTTGGACAAGTATCTTTATTCTCACACAGAGACAGGAAAGTGGAAACAGGGATGTTAAATGACTTCCAGGGTTACCAGTGAGTTGGTTATAGGCACAGGGCCAGAATCCAGGTCTCCCCTCTCTGCTACTCTGTCTTCTCTCTGCTGTGCTTAGGTGCCTTCTCTTCCACGCTTCTTGTCCCATTCCTTTGTGTATTTCAAAACCAGACTCTGAATATCCTTAGATGATCAGAAAACAAGTGACAGATATTAAGTATACACGTGTATAAACAAACTAGAGGCACTTGGACACTGATTGTTTATTGGGAGTATTTTAAACTACAGTTCTAACAATGTATATGTTCAGTTCTCTTTGAAAGGGTTTTCCTTTCCACAGCTGATTCATCCAGACCCAGAGTTTAAATCTAGTTGCTCAGATTCCCCATAGAATTAACTTAGGTTGGTGTACATCTGAGGGCATTATGTTACTTTGGTTTAAACATCTCAAAAAGTGGTGATTGGAGTAAGTCTTTGTTGTATTATCTTTACTTCCTAGCCTGCTGTTTTACTTCATTTGGGCTTCTGCTAAATTATTGAATTTTTATGTAGCTTTTAGTCTTTAAGACTTCATTGCCTCACTACCTCCCATCCAAAATATATCTTTATTTCTTAGTAAACCTTTTTTTTTAAGACTTAATTTTTTAGAGCAGTTTTAGATTCACAGCAAAATTGAGAGGAAGGTACAGAGATTTCCCTTATACCCCTAGTCCCCACACATGCACATCCCCCACCAAAGTGGTGCATTTGTTACAATTGATGAACCTGCATTGACCTATCATAATCATCCAAAGTCCATAGTGTATATTAGTGTATATTCACTCTTGATTTTGTACGTTGTATGGGTTTGACAATGTATAATGACATGAAACCAGCATGATAGTATCATGTGGAGTACTTTCACTGCCCTAAAAATCCTGTGTGCTCTCCCTGTTTATCCCTCCTGACCTCCTTAATAAACTTTTTTTGCTAACGAGGTCACTTCCTTTCACTTCTAATCTTAAAGGTTCTTACGCAGTCTTTATTGGGATTATTTTTCTAACTTTACTTGGCTTCTTTATGCTCGAGTCAGAAAAAGGTTAAAGAAAATTGTATTGCCATACATATAATGGTCTATAACTTTATTTTTTAAATAAATATGGTTTAATGGCTGCAAAGAAGTTTTGGAGTAAAACTTAATTATCCATGTCATCTTGGGTCATTTATGTTTTCTTCTGAACCTGAGTTTTCTGAGCTATAAAATGGGGGCAATAACACTTCACTTACTGGGGTCTCCTGGTAACACTTGTGGAGCACCTAGTGCAGTGCCTGGAAAAGTGTAATAAGGCCATAATTTATTTATTTTTCAGATATATCCTTGCAGATATAGTATTTGTACTCAGTTTCAGAAATTCAAAAGAACTGAAATTTTTTTCTCACCTCATATGGCCACCTCTACCCATTCACTTGTAGCAAATGATCTCACCTTTTATTCTCTAGATAAAATGGGGGCTACTGGGATGAGCTTTCTCACTTTTCCATTTTTTCTGATTACAGAGTCAATTGCAGTTGTACCCATATTTCCTATATTCTGCTGGCCTCAGGAAAAACAAATGCATCCAGTCTCTGCTGTCTTTGATCTTGATCTTCCCCCCTCACCCCATCCCCAAATATCTTTTAGAACTTTGTTCCATTACTTTTCACCTCTTTCCTATAGCTTTAACTTTTCTCCAGTGTTTGCTTCCCTTCAGCCCTCAAACATTTTAGCCCAGTCCTGTCATACCAGTCTGGTCTGGAGACTGCCTTTTTCTTAGCTGCTGCTGGTTCTCCTAAGTTTACTTAAAGGATATTCTGTACCTGTTGAATTTGCTTAACTATTTTTATCTCTAGGCGTCTAAGTGTGAGAGTTAGCTTGATGGCTTTATCAAGGGAAAAGACTTATATTAACTCTGATTAGGTGAATAACATTTTTGAATATCAATGCCTCGGTAAGTAGCTTTCAATATTTGGAATTTCATTTGCTTAAGATCTACAGCTGGAAATGTATTTTAGTTATTTTTCTTTCTTCCTTTTTAAAATAACCCTTGTATCTGGTAATGCCATGTACTCCATGAGGAGAAACCATAAACTGATTTCAGTGGTGCTGTGACTCAACCACCATTTCTAGACTCCTGTGGAAATTGACTTTGGAACTGGTGTTGCATTTTTTGACTGTGTTTCACCCTTCAGTGGTGAATTAACATTTTGGAAATGGTTGACTTTGGTGACTTGGTTGGTAAGCTAACCCAAACACATTGTACTTAGAGGCATGATACTCTGCTTCTGTATTTATGCATGTCTTTTTTTTTTTTTTAAGATTTTATTTATTTGAGAGAGAGAATGAGAGATAGAAAGCATGAGAGGGAAGAGGGTCAGAGGGAGAAGCAGACTCCCCGCTGAGCAGGAAGCCCGATGCGGGACTCGATCCCGGGACTCCAGGATCATGACCCGAGCCGAAGGCAGTCGCTTAACCAACTGAGCCACCCAGGCACCCTATGCATGTCTTTTAATGAGATACCTGTGTAGAAAAGATCTAAATTCAGATTTCTGGCTTTTTTCCTTCCTGATTTTGTCATTTTCCTAATTTTCATTCCCAGGGTAAAATGGTAGCTATTTTATGTCTGTTTTGATTTTCTTTAGTTTACTAAATTTTATAAATTTTTCAGAGGCAAGGTATTAAGTTAGAATTTCACTTGTTAAATATCCAGGGAACATAAACAAGTGGTGTTAGACACTTTGAAGTAATGGATTCGAAATGTGAAGTAATAGAATTCGAAATGTGAACCTGCCCTTATACAATCACCCAGTAAGCCTGGAATCCCAAAGAAATATGCTGTAGAGGTGAATGGAAAATGATCTTACTCTTCCCCAGGAATATCAGCTATCTCCGGCCTTGGCACTGAGAAATCACCACTGAGATTTTGAAGCCACAAACTCTCTCTTAGGTTGCAGCCTGAATTCTCACTACTTGCATCATTTGAAAACCTGAAGTGAATAATTTAACTTGGAATGATTCCAGGTTGGTGGGACCCCAGAGTGTCTGGCAGAAATACTTTCCAGAACTACTTATTTTTAGAAGGTTTAAAAGAATGCCCAAAAATAAAATTCTAAGGGAAATGAGCAGTTCAGTCCAAACTAACTAAACTCACAGAGAAACAAGGCATTGTGAACAAGAACAGTGGCATACAACAGCAACAATCAGAAAATGGAATTTTCAGTCACAATCTTAAAAAGCTATTTAGTATGTATAAGGAAATAAAAGAAAGGCTAGAAAATATGTATGAGGAACAAGAAACTTAAGATTGGCTGAGCATATTTGAAAGTTAACCTAATAGACTATCTAGAAATGAAAAGTAAAATAACTGAAATTTGAAAGTGAATGCATGATAGTCATGGGAATACTGAAAACTTATTTAAACAAAAATCATAGCTCTTAGGAAGATGGGACAAGAAGGCAGAGGGGAATATAACAGAGCTAAATTCTCACCCTCCATAATATAAAATAATGTCTAAAATTGATAAATCAGAAGATAACAGGATATTTTTTAATTATATAGAGATGGGTAAATATCAAAAGAAACAGCTAAAAGATGCTACAATAATTGCCTCTGGGAGGAAGCCTGGGTAAAATGGAGAGGAGTGGGCAGGAACTACTGTATTTTGTCATTTAATATTAGGTGACTTTTTTAAACTATGTGTGCATCTTTTGATAAAATAAAAATTTAAAGCTAAAATAATTAGTGCATAACTGTAAATTAATAATTGAAGCCGAGTGATGATTCAAATTCAAAACATGTTTTCAATATATTAGACACAACTGAAGATGGAATTAGTGAGCTAAAGGATAGCTGACACCTAATTATCATTCGCATGATGGTAGTCAGAAAATTGTGTTTTCTTCATTTTGCTGAGAGAAAATACATCTTCCTAGAATGCTATACCGAGTGAAAATCTTTAATACATACATGAAATAGAGACATTTACAGACCATTAAAAACAGTTTGCCACTAGCAAGATCCTCATGAGAAATTCTGAAGGATGTTCTTCATACAGAAGGCAAGTGATGCTAGATGGAAAGTATGAGATGGAAGAAAGGATGAAGAGTAGAAAAAGTGGTAAACATTGCATTTGTCTAAATCTAAATAACTTTAACTATCAGATAATAAATTAACTGTTGTGTGGGCATTGAAAAAGAAGTAAAAGAAGTTAGAATTAAAGTAGATAACAGTAGCATGAAGGTGAGTGGGAGTGAATGGAATTAAATTTCTGTTGTTTGGGAGGAGGATAAACCTATTGAATGTTTTTAGCATTGGTAAGTTAGGAATGTATGTTGCAATTACTAGGTAGCTTGTAAAATTTTATCATGAAATAACAAAATTGAGTAAACAGCAGAAGTAAGAAATTAATTTAAAAAAAAACAAAACCTCTAGTCAAAGAAAGAAAAGCGCAGAAAAATCAACATAAGAGTATGTATGACACATAGCACAAAGTAAGATGGCAGCTTTAAATCCAAATACATGTTAGTGAACTAAATGCTTTGGTTAAAAGAGAATGCACTAGATTGGTTTTTTTTTTAAAGGGAGAAATGCTATTTATAAAAGATGTGTCTAAAAGAAAAGGATACAGAAAGTTCAAAAGTAAAAATGTGAGAAAAGACCTATCAGACAAATACTAACCAAAATAGAGCTATCAACATCAGACAAAAAGACTTTATAGTAATGGTGTCATAGAGGAAAAAAGGCTCAATATGTCAGGAAAATAAAAGTTTTAAGTTTGCGTTCATCTAATAACAGTCTCAAAATATTTACTTTTTTAAAGATTTTATTTATTTATTTGAGAGAGAGAGAGAGCATGAGAGGGGGGAGGGTCAGAGGAAGAAGCAGACTCCCTGCCGAGCAGGGAGCCCCATGTGGGACTCAGTCCTGCGACTCCAGGATCATGACCTGAGCCCAAAGCAGTCGCTTAACCAACCGAGCCACCCAGGCAC